GCTATTAACGCCCTGACAATGGAATGAGCAACGAATTTAGACCATCGGCCCTCTAGGTATGAAATTTGACCCACTTTTCTGGGTAGTCAGCAGAATAAGTAAAGATCTTAGGGTAAAAGCGACGCTCGATTCCATCACAACAGCGTATCACAATTCCGTGTTTGCAAGCTTGAACAAACTCACTATCCAGTAGAATCTTCCACTGTGCGTGATAAAGTTCCCTGTGGCAGTGCGCCATAAAGTCAGCACTGGGGCCTTTACCACCAAAGTGCTTTGTAGCGAAATCTTTGAAACTATCCGGGAGCTAGAAGATGGCGTGAGCTTGAGTACAAAAGTAACAAGAGAGCGTATGGACACCTACATGATTGAAGTAGCCGACATGGCTACATAGACGGCAAGAAGGCTTGCACCTTCTGTACTTCGACTCGTTCCCAAAAAACATATAGCAGGGCCAGAGTTTTGAATTGCCGAAGGAAGCTAGGTGAGTTGAGTCGGACCAAAACATGAGGGCGACAACCACACGCTCTAGGGTGCACCCAGGTTCTGGTGGCGATTCCTGAAGTTCACGGTGTGCCTGGATGAAGGCGTCGGAAGTATAGAGTTCTCCATGAACACGAATGGGTGTCTCAGATCGTCCGCCATTCCAAAGCAATTCGTAGGGCTGATAGTGGAAGAGTTGGTCATGCTTTTCGTTCCCAAGCTTTTCCTTGATGACGGATACCAGCGATCGATGATAAAATTCTGTGGTGAGGTAGTCATGAACGCCTGAACCATCCGCACGATTGTGAACAGGTATTTTAATCTTGATTGAATTCGTCTTCCATCCAGCACCCTCAAAGGGTGTACGCCCTTCTGCATCTTCCACAGTAGATCCAAGCTGACGGTTGATGAAGTTCCAGCGCGTGGTACGGATATCTTCAGGCTGAAACTCAGGATCGCCGATGATCCGTAAGAGTTCCGTGAAGCTCTTTTGCGACTTCTGGATACCCCCGTTCCAAAACCAATCGCCAAGGAGAAATGAGGACTTGTTTGGATACGGATAGAAGGTGTCTGGGGCTTCCAAGTTGTCATGCTGCATTACAGGAGCGGGCATAACGGGATCCGGACATTCTTGGTCTGAGTGCGTCAGAGTGAGGTTCTCCAGAGTTGTAATCTCTTCTGGGTCGTGCGTTAGCAGACCATTGCTGTAGTACTGACGCAAAAGTCCGAATACGTTAGGAAGTGTGCGGAAGAAGCGAAGTGTGCGGGACGGCAGTGCACTTGCATCCGAAGTGGGCGGGATATCTGCCGCTGGCGGCAGGGCTAGCTCGGCCATGGGCGGGGGTTGAGGAAGAATATCTCGAAACCGCGCAGGCAGACGGCGATCAAGGCGTCTTGGGCGACGCTCAGCCAGCGACCGTCCATCATCAACCGCATGCGAAGATTCTGCAGGATTGAACCCATCCTAGGTTTCGATCTCGGTGAAAAGCAAGGCTATAACTTTCCCAATAACACTCACATCATTTTCATTTTCATTTCCTGGTCCCGACCCTAGATTACGCTCTACTCCCCGACCGCCTAGCCTCCTCAGAACTGAGTTCTGAGCTTGCAAACTTATGATCCAGCCCCTGGCTTGCCTCGCTGTCTCCTGGCCTATGCGACGTCCAAGTTGAAGGGGAAATGAGCCCGGCTGTCATGTTAGGTTGGCCTTCAAGGCATGGCTTTTTTCTTATAGTCCACGCCTCTTTCGCCTTGGCAAGTGCACTGGAAAGGCGTTTTCTTCTCTTTTTACAGGTCCGTTGATGGTTCGCATATGCGTTTAACTGACCAAAGCTTCGTCCACAAGGGCAGATAGTTGAAAATCCTCTCGGGGTTGCAGAAGATGCTTCTGAGGATGGAGGCGAGTCATTCATTGTAAGTCAGTGAAACCGTGTACATCAAGCCAGCAGTATATCGTCACGGTCACCTGTTTGTGTTACTATGGGACAGTTTGATAAGGTGCTCGGTCTCAGGCTGCTTGCAGCCCGAGGCAGCCAAGCATTTCGTGTTGTTTTACGTTTGTGGAAGTGAATCCAACCAGAGCGCTCACTTAGGGTTCAGGAAAGCTTCGAAACATGAATGTAAACAGTCTACATGTTTCAATTAGGAAATAGATACGGGATTTTGTAAAAACTACGCACTGGCAGTAAACACACGAAATAGTATAAAAGCCCTGAGGACAGTGAGACTCGAAGCAGTTGTACAAGTCGAACCTCGGCATACTATTATGGCTCCTGATCGTGTACGTTCCAGCATTGCAGCTGAAGAACTTAAACGAGAGCATCAGCGAACGAGGCTTGCAGTTCAAGTCAGCAACCGGATGAATGCTGTGCTCGAACTGGATGAGACCGGAAAAAACACTGTGTGTGGTATTGGTGCGTTAGCCAACTTATACAAAGGGTTGAATATCTTGGACGTCTTACTCACTTTTTGCATGGATCCAGGCCAGTCAAGGACGATGGAGAGCGCGTTGCTCCTTCTGACCTTGTAGCATATCGCAGATCTCACCAATTCCGAGGACCACGCTGCCTATGCTTGCTCTTGAATAAAAGCGATCCCAGTGACCACTATGAGGCGGCAATAGTCATGATGACTCGGGGACCAAATGCAGGAGAGTACGTTGCCTGTTGTGCATTGAGCAAGTGTGGTTATGTTGGTGAGTCACCGGCACCCCTACTAGGCTGGACAGCCGTGACCTATTCAAGATTACCTGACAAATTTGTTCATTTAGTTTTCATTGAGAAATTGCATAGTTCGATCGGGTTACCCATCAAGAGTTATTCAAGACGAAGTGAGCTACACCTCTGTCAAGATGCGGCAACCATCAGTAGCACCATTGAGCTAACGCGCTTCATAACACAGGTCCTAACGAAGCCAGACCACAAGAAATTGTGTTTGTTGATGGGAATGGTACGTATATGAGCAAGCTAGGACTCGGTGTGCGGTACTAAACAAGTTGATACTTATTTCAAATTGTAGACATCGAACTGGCGGAAGTTATCGAAAGGCAACAGCTTCGAAGACATGACACTCACACAACGTTCGAGAGGCTTATGAAACTAGACTCCTTCACCCGACCTGGTCTCACGAAAGACGAATTTCATTGTTTCCTCACAAGGTGCAATTGTTGCGAGCTCATCATGACGAGGCGCATGTTTGAGCGCCATGACTGTATAGGACAGGAGAAGAAAGGAGATATGGAGATCATTGATCTGACTACAGATGATGTTTAGTTCTGCTACATTCTTTAACATGTGCGCACCTGATAAATAGTCATGGCACCAAGTCTTGTACTATCGGTTGTCGCAATTCTCAATCACAAAGGTAGCACATACTCATAAACAATTTGCCGTTCCGCAGTGAATAATGACATATATACATTATATATATCAAAAAACTGAGTACTTCAAGAAGGGGTAGGAAAGGCTAAGGTACAAAATGGACAACAAGTGTACAGCATGTCAATGTGAAAAAATTATGGTACACACCCTGACCAGCGACCGATGGGACACCGTCCTGTCAAGAAGATGCATCTATGTCCGAATCAGGCACCACACTCGATACATCACTATCCGCATCATCAAATATCATGCCTGCAGGTGCGCGGCCAGACATGCGCAATGCACCTCGGGAGATACCAACCCCAGAGTCAGCTTTGCGAAGTTTGTGACTCATCCGTTGTTCCATATGGTCGTAGAGTTCTTTTTCAATCATGACACGTTTCAGACGTCTCCGGATAAGTCGACACTCTGCCCGACGCTCTAAGCGTTGAGCGCTTATGAGAGCAATGGTGAGATCACTGTCGTGATGTGTCTCCCAGTATGGGGGAAGGCATAAGGATTCCATCTAGTTGATTGTCACTGGGGATTAATACTAGTATCTAACAATGACACACACAGTTTGCGATTCTTGCACGGCTTCGTGGGAGATAGGTAGAGAGGGGTATGTCTCTTGAGGACATGATCGTGACACGTTGCTGCGCCAAGCAGCACAATTCAAGACGTTGGATGTTCGGGAATTACCCACAAGATTCGGCAAAAGAGTATGTGAATTGATTTGACGGTCAGGCTGAGCGGGGGTGCCTGGTGCAAGAGTATGCTGCCCGAGTGTGGAGGACATATTGTCACTGAAAATTGGAAGTTCTTGTGTCTTTGTTATACTGCTCAAGTCTCTAGTAAAATCGATTGAAGTACTTAAGTAAAATTTACGGGTTATTCCGACAGCGGCTCACACAGGCTCACACACGTTGCAATACGGACCTACGGTGGTACACCTATCAGATTGCACTGTATGCCTGTTGTCCACGTCGTCTGTTGTAGAATTACTGGTCATACGGGGGTCTTTAATCCAATCATAAGCGAACTGCCAATTCATGAAAATTTGCGACCAGTATTCGTATGCGTACATTTAGATTCACAATTTGAACTACAAATCCAACTTAAGATTCATCTATTCATATTTTGTACAGTACGACACTGGATCTCGAGCTACAAATATAAATCGGTAATCCAGGCATCGATTATGTAATATTTTTTTTCATCTATCAAGAGAGTTCGTCTAGGTCTATGGATTCTTAGCCGCTGTATTCAAATTTAAAGCGCTAAGCCGCTGGCCAATGCCGGAGTTTGCTTTAAGGAGATGGCGAACATAATGTCACTACTCTATAGAACATTTGAGGTAATGGAACGGCGATAGATAGTCTCCACTGTCCAGGAGCTGACAAGTATTCGTATTTGTACACCGATCTCGAGCCAGTAATCCAAATCAGTAATCACTCCCAGCACCTGGTCCACGACTTCGTCAAAAAAAACGAACGGGGTCAGCCATGTATTCAATTTGGTGAGCGCTTATCAAGGAGTCCTGGCTCCTGGATCATACACGTGTCTGATTCACGGACCTATCCTTTGACGCGAGTACTGACTTTAAGAAAGCTGGCTGAAAATGCAGTCCAACAGCGCAATTCGCCATCTGAGTGACTTATCATGTCCTCCGAGTCTCGCCTTAAAGTTGGCTACATCTACACACCCCCTTCAAGTTCAAACAATTATATCTCGGATATCACGGAATGGGTTGTCCATCCAGTAAGTTCCTATTTTCTATGATATTATCCGACTCACGCTATTCCAGCAATTTGACTTCGAAGATGTCAAAAAATCATTTTTCAAAGTGGCCTATATACGGGAGGATATTACACAGACTTCGGGCGTGGAGACTGGAGTCTTCCGTCCAACATATGTGGTATTTTATTCATATCCCAGTCTATTCGAAAATTCCTATTAATGTCCTTCACAGAGTACTGATGAGCTTGCGCTGTCGGTAAGTATTTCCGTCAAGGGTGATTAGGGTGTTAATTCACTTGTGTTTTTCCCTGGTAGCCAACCGGATTTGTCGTCCCGGATGGGTGGAAAAAGGTCTGTATGTATTCGGATGAAGAAAATGTCCCGCTACCAGCATTACAGGTACGTTTAATATTGCAACAAATGCAACGATTCACTTTTTTCGATAGAAGGTTGCCAAACCGGATGACGCAACAATCCCCTTGACTTTCAGCGCGGATTTCGGTGACGACGAATTCATGTCGGCCATCAGTTCGCTGAGTGAAGGGATATGGATGGACAACGATACATCAGCATTTGAAGCGCCCTCCCCTGCCCCTCCTACTAGTATGGGCTTTGGGCTCCCACTAGCTCCGGAATCAACACCATCGTCCCAACCCCCTGCAGTTGCACCACCGACATATGGTGGGCCCGCACTTTTGCTCACCTCCCTAATTCCACAACCGATGTTCATAACGACGCCGAACATCGTTGAGGGGCACTATATCTTATGTGACCCCCAACAGTTCCGTAGGGGCATTAACTACACCCAAGACTACATCGAGAGGCACTTCGTCGCGGCGTGGGTGTGCCTCCAAGATGGTAGAACTTGGGGCAAAACATTTCGTTGCACCATGTTCGGCTTGGAGACAAGTACCGTTTACAAGGCACAATGTATTCGGGAGATTCAAACGTTGATTGCCCATGTCGACGGGTTATGGTCAACCACCAGAGAAAGGTAGGCACGTTGAACATGAATATGTTCACTATATCGAGTGCTCACATTATATCAGGCCTCCAATGTAGTCAAACCGGCCAACGAAAAGACTTGAAACTCGTCGACAATGCTATCAAATTGGTAACAAGCGAGCGGACGGCATTCGTCAAGAGTTTGAAAGCCCGCGCATGCTGCCTACATCGAACATTCAGACAGGGCTTCCATCGGAGGTTACGATCTTCAAAGCCAGCCCCCCCATATGATTACAGCTTACATCAATGGCCTTACTGGGTTGACGTCCCACGAAGTGTGGCCTCATCGATTAACTTCACCCGCGACGCACAAGGGGTATTATCATTTTCTTTCGAACATCATCTTCTGATGGAACTGACATTCAGTGTTTTCAGAAACCGTATCGTAGGTTGACGCTATTGATCATAATGGCGCAGCGGCTATTGCGAACGGTCCAGAACAGCGGTGAACGCACCTTGCTGGACCTGTTCCCTAATGACTACCGAGAAATTCCGACACAACTCATGTCGGTGATATGTGCAATGGTACATGCTGTTGTCGACGACTTTGTATTTGACACTGACCCCTTTCTATAGTATGTATTGAAGTTCAAGCGTCGCTTTGTTATCAACCCTGGCACTTTACGCTCTGCGGACGTGCGTCACGAGGCCGTCCACCAATTACATCTCCTCACGATGGCCCGCCAGCGCACTGACAACGAAGGAGTTGAGTTGAATTACTGGATCACTACCCGCGACGGAGAAGGTGGCTGGCTAGCTGACCTGTGAGTAAATGTACTTTAACTCAATCTGTCTCATGTATGCATTGTAGCCGAAATGCGCTGGCGTTAGCAAACGGCCTACGAGGCCCGACTCGGAGGCATGATTGAATGTTTTCAGGCATCAATACAAAGAATACGTTACGATTTGATTTATCTTTGTACATACTGTATCACAAAGTCGCGGTGTAGAATTTTGTAGCTAGTGTTTGGTAGGGCGCTCTCAATGAACCTGAGCAAACAAGTAACTTTTCGTGCAACAATAAGCTTCTTTCAGCAGGATCGCATGACACGACGGCCTCGTAGCAATCATTTGGAGATAATCCAGTATGGGACTCTTTGATGTACTCGCACGCGCACGCGCCCACTCGAAAAGTCCATCAGCTTTCTCAGCGAGGACTGCAAACTGTCCGTCCTGAAAATCCGACCCTTCTAACTCCTTGGATATGTAAGCTTTGATGTCACGCCTTGCGACTGCTGCTGAAATCTGGTACTTATCATCGCGCTCGCGAATGCGGCTCCACAGTTCAAAAACCTGTCTGTTGTTTAGTAAGTGTGTAATTGACAAGTCAATTGTTACCTCATCGACAATGTTTCCTAACGAGTTCCGAGCCGCTACTGCTTGAATTCCCAAAACAGATTCAAGTCACCCGCTCAAACCACACCAAATAACATAGCAGAAGGGTTAAAATCTGACTGTCCGAGTCATAGTGGAAAATACCAGTGATTTTCATCCTGCCTCACAACCATTATGCCTGCTATGGCAGACTTCGACGACCAGCAATCCTGCGGCCAATGTCGCAAACAGCCTGTTGATGCCCTTCAACTCGGCCCCAGGAAAAGGCCGTGGGTGACTTTAGATTTGCGGGAAGCCATTGCCGCTGACCTTTGCAATCGTGATACAGGAGTGCGGCCGATCCATTGGTACACTACGGACGTCATTTTGGGCGAACAGTGCACGCTCTTTGCAACTTCCAAGCCCTCCTCACAAATGGAATCTTACGTATGGGAGAATTGGCCGAGATTCCAGAGGAAAACTTCACCAATGAGTATTTTGCTTTTCTACAGAGTTACATGCAGCCTATTTAATCGCATGTACAGGGAACGGCGTGAGCATCGTGTTTTTCAAGAGCTCCTCAAGTCTGTGGCTGGCCTGGAAGAGCGCTTGATCCATAGCGGAGATGATGAGGTTGACGTAGTTGCAGAACTGGCAAGTACTATTCCGTTTTCCTACCTCTTTAAAGTAAATTGTGTACCTCACATTCCCCTCAGCTCACCAAGGGCGCCTCTGGAGCAAGAGGTGATGACACCAAAAGCCTCAAAGGCGGTGTGCTTGACTGGATTACCCCCAAGGGACAGAATCTGGTTCCTCCTCTCGCTCGCAATGTGAAAATTGACCGTGGTTTTCATCACGAACGGACAGGCGCGTTACTTTGTCCTGCTGGCCTGGACTGGTCTCACTCAGAGTGCGTGGTACCTTGTTTGTCTGTTTACTTGGCGTACATACTGACGCCATGCAGGACAAAAGCTAAGCTACGAAGTGGCGAGATTATGGTGACCGGAGACCAATGGCCGTTGTTCTTATATGCTGACTACCATTATGATCCTGAGGATCCGTGGAATGGTCTGTTTCGAAGTGCCCTGTTAGTTTGCGTGAGATATAAACTTTTGTGTCACTTCCGGGTTTCTTTGCGCTGAACTAGACCTACAGGCATATAAACATGTCTTTACGTCCCCTAGCTCTGTAGACAGAGAACCAAAGGCAACTCGTTCAGGTAATGCTCGTATTCACGGGATGACCCGAATTACTCTACCATCCATTGCATACATTGCAACTCAGGTGCGTCTACATTTCAAATCTGTTTATTTCTTCTAAGTGAACTTTCTTTCCAGGTCCGGTTCGCCCTCACCTCCTCACCTGTTTTCTCGCGTACCGACACAGTCACAGATTCCGAAAGGTTCTACAACTCCATTTTGGACGTCTTCGAAGATCCCGACGAGAAACAAGAGGTAGACGATCTTGCTGTGTGGTGGAACAGGTGATTGATTATTTTTTCCGCTCTGCTGATGCTCATATTTTCTAGGCAAATCTTTCCTTCATACTCAACTGCTCAACGTCCCCCGGTCAAGAACAGTGCGCTGGCGAGGATTCGAGAGAGGCGAGCCCAAATGAAAGAGGCTTCAGTCCCTGACAGTAGTAGTGGTGATGTGTAGCACAAAGTTGGCACAAGATAGTTTATTGCATGCGCTATACAATCCACGTTCAGTGATCCAAAACCTGTGTGAGAGAGTATCTTCTGACACCAAGGTTATACCCGGCCTTCAAACTAAGACTTAGTGATAAATTCTGCTCGTTTTTGTATGTTTTTACCCATAGTGGCAATTAAGGCGGTCATGATGCAATGATAGACTACATAGTCTGTGATGATACAGACTTACTAGCACATATCATGATGAGATTCTTTCTCCAAATTCACTAGCTATTACCTTGCTGGTCACGAGTCCAACAAGTGTGTTCGTAGCTAATACTTGCAAGAACATACCAATTGGTAACATTCTGACATCATTTGTACCTTTCATAAAAGCACGCTTCCATTACATACTTAGATGCTAGAGTTGACGGAGCATCAAAATTGCAAAAGTTAAATTCCTTGCCATGCAGATACTCCTGTGCAATCCCTGCCCTTATGGTGACCTTTGTACGCTCTGTCAAGGCAAGCATACATTATAATTGAAGGGACTACCGTCTATAAATGGTCACAATTGCAAGGCTAGGTGGACATTGGTAATCCACATCCCTTTGATCACACTCGATAATTAATCTCATCCTTACGTAGATGGTGACTCCTGCCTTGTCTATCCTCCCATGTAAGACTTCACAACACGACTTATCATTGTTACACTTATTGTGGCAATTTTGTTTATTATAATCTTATATATACTAATATAATTTCGTGGTTGGATGTCTGATGGATGACAGATAAGCTATCATAAAGTTAGACTACGTCACAGAACATAGAACGACAGAGGGCTGACCCCTGCAATTGGCAATACGAAGCCGCAGCAATTGCAGCCTGAGGCAGAGCAGCCCGAACATTATCGCGCTTGGCTTCGAAGATAGTGGTCGTCATTGGTCCCTTGATGCTTCCGGAATTTGTCAGTGCTGTGGTCGGATCGCCCAGGAGGTATTCTAAAGAACAGTTCAAAGCCATTCTAGCAGGCGACAGAAATTAACTAACCGGTGTACCCAGCGGGGAGTTTAGTCACCAGGAAGTCGACGACGCCACTAAACGAACATTTGCCAGAGTCTCGGTCGAAGATCGTTCTAGGGATAGGGAATTCTGGAATTATGTTCACCGTCGTGTCTCCCTGACACATGACCGATAGAACTCTCAATAAGAGTATGTTGATCAAGATGCGACATCCAGCTTCCGTCTTTGGAATTTAAATGAATACACAGTCGATCACGGAAATTAGCCACCGTAACATACCACCATTGCGACGTGGCCGCGCACTAAACTTATCTGGGATCGTACAGTATCAATCGGAAGACACCCTGATATTTCGGCCAATCCAAGGTTTTCGACTTCTTGCCTCTTGTCGCTGATCAATAAAAGTGGACCACACGATATCCCCAATGAAAAGAGCGTCATTGGATCCACCTTAGAGAAGGAAGTGTACTGAGGAGAGGCTAATCAGCTCTGTGAACAATTCAGCGTCATTCAACCTTAACGTCTTCCAATTTGTCACGCAGTTCTTGGAGTTTATCGACCAGACCAGCAGACAAATCCTCGTCTCCTTCATCAAGGTTGGAACGATATTCCTGAAGCATATGAAGCAATTCGTTTGTATTTTTTGCAGTTACTAGTAGGTCTGAAAGCTTTCGTCGTTTGAGAATGGGAGGCATGATGTGCGATACACCGACAGATGCGGGAGACACAGATTGTTGGGGTTATAATTAATTGAGGCTTGCGTGAGTTGAGGATTTGACGGGCCTTGACACAATTCAGGAGTCAGAATCAGGACCCATTTTCGCTCAATCGCGCTTGACGGCATCGGAGAGTAAAAACGGCGGTGTGACATGGTGTGACGTGACGAATTCTGTGCGGGTGAGAATTTCTGCAACTCTGTGCTCAAACACAGTTTCGCACCGGCTTCTCTCTGGCAACGTAGCCTTGTCATTTTTCTCTATTCTATTTGCAGAGCCTTACAGTATGTACTGAATCCTACTTGCTCATGTTGTTGCCTTATTTTAATGTTGTGTAGTTGTTGTGTTATAAAAAAACGGGTCAAAGTCTTGCAACACTGGGCCAGAGATAGTACTAGTAGAGGGTTATTAGCTGTCGTGGATGGCACTTAATCTCTAAGTCCATTATGGCAACCAAAGACCCTCCCACCGCGGAGGAGAAGGCACGGTATGAGAAGGTGAAAGATGAACTTGTGAAGATGATCCAGAAGAAAAGGGCGGCGGACAGACAACTTGTATGTTGACCCTCTTTATTATCTTGTATTGTTCAAACTGCTCTATTCATTATACAGGCACAAACTGAAGTCCTGATACATTCACTAGAAACGTCTTATCTCGCCGAGACCGCCACTACGGGTAATATCATTCATGGATTCGACGGGTATCTTAAGCCCACTCAGGGTGCTGCGGCGCGTAGAAAGCATGACGTCGGGGACGGTGACCGGTGGTTCTCAACAAGTAGTGGAACATGGCAGAAGGTATGCCCAATTGTTCGCGAGAGGGACAAATATCTCACTGGAATTGTATCGCTTTTCCTCAGTCCTTGGATCTTCTCGGAGAAGGCGAGGATTCGACACCTGTGCCTGATGATATGAGGCTTCAAACAACACCAGGACTGACCACTGTTGTCGTGCCTCCGGCTCCACGCACGCAAGAGTTAAGTGCTGCTCAACAGAAAAAGAACCGGGACAGAGAATATCAGCGACGCAAACGCGCCATGCGACGAAGCGCGGGTACCGTCAGCGACGAAGACTCGCAAAGTATTGGTACAGGAAGGCGGCCAACGAAACGCGCGAGGATAGCGGATGATGATTGAGCTGCGTGAAATTGTGGTATGTGTATGTGTCATTGCCGTCTGTTCAGTTGTACCATATTCTTTTACTGTATACCTGTGCAACTGCAGGGATATCTCAAGAGTTTGAATCACACTGAGAGAATATACAGCAATTATATATCCAGTTTACTAAGGAACTTCTTCACATTAGTTTCGTCCATCCCGCCGCCATCTGGATCGACCGCCTCAATACACCGCACAATAGCAATCGTATGTTTTGTCTCCTTCGCGCTGACCCATACCTTTCCGTTCATTCCCACTGCTGCTTCCAGAGGGAAACGCGATCCAAGCAGTGGCAGGAGAAAATGTTTAGGGTCAAGTAATCTGGGTGAAAAATATAATGAACGACAGAGAAATAGCAGCAAGAATCTAGCATACAGTCGGCTCATCTGCAAACTACACTGAAGCACAAAGCCATCCTTTAGCTCACCGAATCCATCAGCCTTGTGAGTTTGAGCGTCGAAGCACTCGAGCTCAGGCTCCATATCTTTGTGGGCCAAGGAAACGCGGGCATAAAGGAGCGAACCGACCTGATTGACGCATCAAGAAGCTATACATTGACAGGGGAGCTGAAAATAACGTTGCAGTACCTTGAGACTCGGCTTGTTTCTTTTCGTTGCCCCTTCAAATGCCAAGCCATCCAGTGATGCAGGATGTGCAGATCCAATGTCGACGCGCCAGCCTTCACCACTCCGTCCAGTGATCACGCCAATCACACTTTCCTGTGGCGCCGGTACATACTGGAGTGGTAATTAGATGACCAGCTTGCACACTATGGAGTAGAGCATACTCTTCTTGAATTACCCTCAACCCACCACTTGCTCTTGTTAGCTGAGTGGTTGAGGACGCCTGAGCGAGTAGCAATAACAGGAGCTGATTTCGCTCGTTGCTGTGTATCGCTTGATAATTGAAGAAGGCCAGGACCAAGCTTGAGGTTGACGTGCTGGGCTGGGACTTGCTCGCCAGGGAGGACGATGGACATCATGGAAGCTGGAAAAGGAAAAAGCACACTGCCTTCTGAACTCTCAAGTCCTCAGCTTTACTCAAGCTTTAGATGACAACTTGATCTTGTATCCCGCGTCGTTTATGGCTGCGACACCTTTGATGAATGAATTTCCCGAGCTAGCCCACCTTACGTGTGTATTGTAGTGCACGAGCCTGCATTTTCAGCTCACTTCATTTTGCCCAGACGCGAAGATCTTGAGGACCTCCTCAATGATCCCGCTTTCTTTCAGAGCATATTCCATTCCTTGCCTCAGGTAAAGGAATTATATCAAGCTCAGGCAGAGCTAGGCATGGCAAATGAAGCCATTGCTCGTAAGTTCTCAATCATTCGTTGGTACGCAACATGCTAGATCTCTCGCCTTAGGAACAAACCTAGCACTGCAAGACCGTCTGTATGAGTTGCGGACTGAAACCAAAGAAGCCTTCGAGGAAGCCAAATCTATGGAGTCTCGCTGGAAGGATCTTGAGCGCGAACAACGAGAGGTCTATCAAGTACGTCGCTGAATGTGACATATTAGCTACCATCTGATATTCCTTCAGCGATTCAACCCTCAGTTTCTTTTACTTCGCCTTCGTCATGCGACTACCGCGCAAGATGATTCCTCAGAGGCTCTCGCGTCATCATTTGTGCAATCCTCCCCCTCGCTCTCCTCGGGTAATGATGCCTCAGATGTGGATGAATTCATTAGAGAATTCAGAGAGTCGAGGAAAGTCTACCACAAACGATCGATGTGGGGTGATAGGTGGGCTTCTGGACAGGTGTCTTGGGAGGATGGTTGATTGGCTAGTGTGAGCCTTCCTCACACCTTCTCTGATGCAAGTGATCTTATGAATTGTTCAGCATTAACTTTTTAATGCAGAGGCTCTTTGCGAGAATCTGCCTGTCAACGGCGACCTGTCCCTTGTGACACACTAACCCAGTTATTTGATTGGAAATCTAAGTTGACTTAACAGCTTCTTGTACTCTTCAGCTACCCCCCTTTGGCTGCAGGCCAAGTCATGCGGGAGTATCTTAGACAAACCATGACTTCGATTCTACGTCTCCACTGCTAAGTGGGAAGTTATGCGAGTGCTGATGATATATAGATGTTCCGCATGCTCGCTCGAGAGACAACGTTGCAGCAACGATGCATCGCGGATGGTCTAGAGTTGCGCCGTCCATGCATCCGTATGTTACATACCCATGTGCCCGCGCAACTGGTAAGCTTTGTGACCAGTGGCGAATTTGCTTTCCGAAATGTTTGCAATTTCGGAAACAGATGGGAGGAGACTAATCATGAAGGTGCGCAATTGACAATCATTCTCTACATACTACAACTCAACTGGCATGCAGTTACAATATATAAATATCACTGAAGTTGCATACATCATTTGCTGATCGGCATGCCAACGGCGAACATGCATGTTATTTTGTTCCCAAAATCGTCGACTACTCCCGATATTTTCTTCTTCGAAATCTCACCCCATCTCATATAGAGAAACGCTTCAGCGAGAGGCAGCCCCATCGAACTTCTGCAGTTCACGCCCTCCCAATAGCAACGTGACACCACAACCCAGCGGTGCCGCTCAGGCACAGACATCTTTGTAACCGCATTCTGCCATCTCCACGTCGTCCACTACACCTCCCGCCGTCGCTACCCCCGAAGCTATTCTCATGTAATGATCAAACACGCTGGACGCTGGACTCACTTTTGGCTCTTAATATGTTGTGCCTCTACTGAATATCCTGACGGTCATCTTGTCCTTTACGAAAATCTCATCTGACAGGCTAAGGCGTTCATCCCATCCCTCGAGTGCATGCAATGCAACTATAAAATGATTTATTCCTTTGCACTAAATCATTGTTCTGTGGTACCGTGCACACGGTATTTACTTTCAGATCTAAGGAGAGCTTTAGGGGGCCTATGAAGATAGTCTTTCCTCTAGAAGTGAAGTCAATTGTTGTCTGGCTCTGAAATTTGGTGATCGAGATACGACCACGACCGTGACCTACTTATTAGCCCGCCGTCAGTCCTGCTTGAACCCAGCGAGCAACCGCGGGAAGCCTAAGTTAGATCTGGAGTCATGTACATGAAAACCTGAGTGACCGGGCTGCATATGCATACAAGACTTGAATTGAGATGCTTCCGTCGCGTATTTTATAGATGACAGCGAGCGAAATATAACGTCATGGATAATATTGCTTTTGTTTCGACATTTTGTACGCTTTTGTACCCTTCTACATCGACTTGCTTGTCTATCGAAACCACTACCACTGAAGTCATCTGGAAGCGAGACCCGTCACGCAGCTTCTTCATGACGTCGACCTTCGCCGTTCACTACACCGAGCGTCTGGTTCCGTTGACCAGGCTGCACTTATCTACGCAGACCAAGCCTACAAGTGATGGCGCTGAACTCGAGTTGACGCATGCAATGTTGCAAGGTTCACCTTCTGAAGAGACGGTGTTGGAGTCCATGGACTTTCTCCGTTATTTCGTTGCTCGGAAGGGCAACCCAGGGCTTCAATCTGACAGCGAGGAACTTCTCTTATACAATGCCGTCGTCAGGAAAACCATTTTCAACATGTATGCCCTCGCCGTGGATCTTTACCTGCAGGAATCAAGTGCGGCCCAGCTTGACGCAGAGTGGTGGGCCGATATCGAACAATCCACCTGGTCTGTGGCATCGTATCTCTTACAGTGTGCGTTTATTTTCATGATACACTGCACTGCACACGTTCCTAATGCCTGTCACTTCTTTGGGCTCGAAAATTTAGCGTCGCCGAGCCGTCTTTGCAGAGTCTTGCAGTTGATACAGACCCGGAATATGTCTATTCGATGGTCGGCCTTCCGCCCATCGTCTATTGCAAGATTCTACTGGGATGCCGCGCCTATTCGGCTCAACCCGTTCACTATTGCACTCTTTCCCTATCTGCGAGACCAGTCCTCTGCTGTGGCATCGGTTTCTCCTGTTACTGCAGGAAGGAGCACGCGACCATACTCCCTCGTTCCCCTGACTGTACAAATACGTGATGGGGTCATGTACAGTATACAAAGAGTAGTTTCTCTCCTACTCTTTCCTCTCCGTCTTGCTCGAGAAGAGTGTCAGCTCCGAAGAAAAGAATTGGAGAAGGTGAGGGACGAAAGGGCGGAAGTCCTTGGAAAGCTTTTGGAGTTGCGACCCTTGCTCGCAAATGGTCTGGAGGCCGACTTCAACCTTTCGATCACTGGCTCGTCCATTGACAATGAAGCTCTTACGGCGTTTCTGTTCAAGTTCGCTATCGTCACGTCAGGCAATGTATCAGAGAAAGTTGGTCTTCCTTTAATCCAACAACTCCTCTTTGCATTTGAAGACCACAGAATCATGCATGACGAGTATCTGGAGGCCCACGATCTGCGACGACCGTCCCGACTTACCCTCTTATGGCCCCGCTTATTTTTGCTTCCCCCTCTGACACTCTATTGCGCCAAGTATCTCTATGCTTCTAGAGCAACTTTAGCCGACCTTATGCTAGATGTGTTGAACACCGTGCAAAACTTTTTCAAGGGTTGGCTGTTTGATCCAATAAAAGACGTCCTCATAACAATCCGTGCTGGTGGAGAAGATGGCGTCATTGTTAGGCGAGAAGCAGTTGCTGCTGACCTCGATGTGAGCAATTCTACCACTCCCAAGTCGTTGTCTGATCGTCGGTGAAGTCACTTGAGCGAATGACCCTCGATCTCGCTAGGGAGAAACTTAGTTATGATTCTACACAACTTGAAGCACTTTCACAGCGGATACGTCAGGGCGACCTCACCGCCGTGCTGAAGATCTATGAAGAGGACATCAAAAATCCGGTGAAATCTGCAATATCGGGGACGCTCTTGAGGTCCATGTTCATTCAGGTCCAGAAGGCCAAAGTAAGCTCAATGCGCCTCTGTCAGGCTACTACTCATTTAAATGTCCCAGGTGGACCTTGATCAAGCGTTGGCTGGCATCGATAAACTGTTGAAATCTCAGGAACTTACTTTTGCATTCGTGGGTGTCGCGCCAGCCCTTGCTGTCATATATGTCGCCGGAGGATTCCTAGGAGGATTACTGTCCATAAGACCTGGCAGGTATGGAGGGAAACTCAAAAAGACCAGCGTTTGGCTTGCCATGAGGTAGACATAACTAGTGTCTCACAAAACACACACTCATCCTGTATTTCCAGGCGTATCGAGCGGCTCCTGCTTTTCCAACCTAAATTGGCGCACCACCATCACAATACCGAGAACGTGCACTCGGACACCATCCCTGCTTTGACGACAGGACTATTGGTTTTGTCTTTGGCGCACCTTCGAGAGTACGCTTTGACGTCGCTACCAGCACGGTCGCGACTTCGGGAGGGATTTTTGGAAGATATCGAGGACCTTGAAGATCCTGGATTGCGTCGATCGGAAAAACTCAGGATTATTGATAGGATGTGGAAGAGTTGGGGAAAGGAGCTTGGTTGGTACGATTTAGCGGGCGGTAGATCAAACAGTTAGAGATTGATTCCCTCCAAGGCCATTGCGGTAACTCAATGTGATCATATTAATCGTCGTGTGTGCTCCCAATACCAACCAGTAACTATCACAGCTTGTGATGATAAAATGCAGTATCGACTACGTGGTCCCAACTATAAATTCTAGGATATCTGTATCCCTACCATTAAGGGAACGACGAATTGATGGTATAATAAACTGGCGAACAGGACTTAATGAAAGAGGAATCATGAGCCCACCACCGAGACCTCTCCTATGCCAAGAGTCCGCTACATGAAAAGCGCGTCAATGTCAGCATCCACAAGAAATGCTCAGACACGTACACAAGGGTTGTCCGAGTATGAGCATGCAAAAATAGACCCACAACCTCCCATACAATCCACCGACACGGTATCCTGTGTATTTGTACCAGGCCTTTTCACAAAGCAGCAGAGGAGCTTGCAGCGCAAAAAAGAGCGGAACGAAGGTATCAAAACCTCTTCCAAGTGCATATGCAGCGAATTCGTGGTATAATCCGGACCCGATGAATGTCCCGAATAGCATGCCGATCCTTCCTGCGACGATGCCACCAAAAAATCCTCCAAAGATAAAAAAGGTTTCTCGAAGGATTTGGTGCCAACGTTTGGACCAAAATATATGAAGCGAGTCAGACTGCCAAGGATGGTCCATCACGGGAGGCCATGCAGACGGAGAGCTTCCCAAGAGCAAAACAGCAAATATCGTGATGAGATCGTAAACGAGTTTGAAGGCTGCCAAAATGCAAGACCCAGTTGCAGCATGAATGGCTGTAGAAAGCGCATATCTAAAGAGGAAGGGTAGCTCCGCTCTGAAAATGGTGCCGCCGTGGGGAGTACCAACATCAGGTACTAGCTTGATGAACGACTCGAGGAGGTCGAAGATCAGGTAGTTTCCGACCAATGATATGAACGTCGCAAACAGGAATGATTTCCGTCGGAGAGACCTCTCCTGACGAGGTACATGAATCCCGACACCAAATTTCCAACCCAAACCCCGGTTGGATATAATGACGTCTAAAGCATCATATAGCCAAGAAAGCGCTGGGACAGCTGGATCTGACGTGACTGGTTTTGCATGCGCATCACCATTAGCTTTCACAGCGTCCGACTTTCTTGCGACACCTGGCCGAACCTCGTCTATCTTGAGCATACCCTCTTTTCTCCATGCAAAATCTATTGCCTTGGCGCTTATGGCTTCTGCGAGTAGAGCTGTTGTGGCTTGAGTGACTCTGTAAATACGAGGGAAGTGATGAAACGTCACCTTGACCCCAGTTGTAGATGTTGTGATGTGGCTCTGTCCACATGAAACGAAAGTAGGTCCCGACGGCAACTGCGACCACCAAGGGGAGGAGTAGAAGTCGCAAGGTAAACGTATCGGGCCGTCTTGCAAGGTATCCCATGTAAATTAGTGGCAGAAAGGGGAATAACAGGTATAGGATATTGGTTTCGGAAATTGGTATACGTTGATGAGGTTGGGGCACGAGCGCCCGGAATACATCATGGACGATACAATGACTTTTTGCGAAGGTTGTTTGTGAGCGCGTGAAGTCTGAATCTAGATGTAAGATAACGCACCATATTAGATAGATTCTCAACCACATCTATCAGAACTCTGGTAAGTCGCCCAATCCACCAGGTGGGTTGCGAATTAGTAGTTCCAACGAAGACACGCCAACATGCCCCATAAACTATGTTCACGTCTAATGCTTTGCTTAGTCAGCCAGTGACGTCGTCCTTGGTCGCGACTTGAAAACAACTCTACTGCCTGGATTGCAACAGATCAAAGGCTCTTGTTGGATTCAAGCTCACGCGCACGTCCTCGTCAAACGCAGCACGACGTGTCGCCACACGTAACACACTCACATGTCTGACTTCCAGTCTGGCGTTTCCCTCACACACAACCCTGTTGTAGTTGCATCTGTCGCGTCTGCAGTGCCACAAGCGCCTTGCTGCACATCAAAGATGTCCAAACTTGACTTACCCACATTCTCTGGTCCGATTGAGCCCACAATGATTAACGCCTGGCTCGGGCGCTGCGAGGACTCGTATCTCGCATGGTCTGCCTGGAATCCGGGACATACGATATCTCCGCAAATACTTATTATACTTGCGGGCCTCCAGCTGGAAGAACCGAGCGCAAGACTTTGGTGGAACCAGAATCGTGATGTGCTCAAGCAGCTTGCTACGTGGGAGGCATTCGCCTCGCGCTTCCAGGATCATTTCACACTCTCCGGCTGGTATCTCGACGCCCTCGCCCGCTTCTACAACGTCTCGCAAGACTTCGACGACTTCCGCACGTTCGTTGCTTCCTTACGAGCAGCTCGGAACACGCTTGGTTCGGCAGGTGATGGTTACACTATCAGTGACTCCATTTTCAAAAACCATTTGTTCTTTTTTGCCAATCCCGTGCTTCAACTTCGTGTCCGGGCCATACCAAACTTCGCGTACGGGAACTTGAAGGTTGAAGCACTGATCAATATCATGGAGACTATGTGGTCGAGCCTCGTCGCGGAAGGCTTCACAATGCCTGCGCCTAAGCCAATGCTCATGTCTACCTCGACTGCTCCTGTGTCAAACGCGCACTCATTAAACTCTACATATCCTCTTCCCGACCTCACCTATGCCGAACGGGAAGTCTTACGCTCAGCAGGAGGTTGTTTCCACTGTCGTCTGTCGCCATCCGACCTCGCCTGGAAACCACACGTTGCACGTGAGTGCCCGGGTGACGAACAACGCAGCATTCCTCCCCGGGCTCCCCGTCCCATCGCAGCAGTGATCCTACCTAAGGTCCTCATCACACATGACAACCCCGGCGTCACAGGTATCTCAAACCCAAAAGATGGTACCATTACCGCTATCCTGCCTCCAGTTGTGGTTAGGCGACCATCTTATTTCGACGACTCTGACAGTGATGAGGACTGATACCTTTATTTGTTCTTCGGATTGTATTCTTTTTTGGCCCCTGATGTTAGCTTATGCACCACGGACTCCTCCGCATTTCGTACATTGGTGATTCTTTAACCTTCCCCTGTTTGCGTATTGTTGGGACTTCTTCGGACTCATAGAACAATGATTTCCTTGATGGCATGAGAGGGCTCTCCTTATTTCCGAAGTCCTCTAGGAGTTGCCACTTATTCGCACATGTCGGAACAGCAGACCCGTCGTAGCGGAAATGCCTTGTAGCACTTGCAACTATATGCAAAGTTTTCCACGAGCCTGCAATGAATTTCCTTTGGGCTGACATGGATGGGATATTACCACTGCTAGGCTGTGTAACGAGGCTACACCCAATGATGTTCAAGTTATCGTAGCAGTGCGGGGGTCAGGGCCGATCAGTCGAGTTCTATTCATTTCTTTTCGCTCCGTTGGCTCACCGAGCATCTAATCGCAGTGCATTTGGTCCTCTCGAGACGTCGAACCATTATTTGAGCATGGCGCCCCTCAATCTTTGCGTCACGTTGCCCATGCGCGCTCAATGCGTATTCCTTCCGAAGACCATTTTCACCTTCTCTCAGTCCTCCACATACATTTTCCCGAGACTGCTGTCATTATCAACAGTAATTCCATGTTTGGCTGAATTCCTGCAACTCTTCCTGTCCCCTATGCTGCGTCGCTGGGTCCTACCCGTCATTGATCCAGACTTAAAATGTATTGCGACTCATTGTGCTGCATTGGAGGATTTATCTATCAGGTCTCTCGAGTTTGCGAAGGACCCCGACATGGCAGATATGCAACACTCAGAATTCCCTTTTCTGCGAAGTTCGAGATGATTGTTGAACTGCCTTGGACAGAGGCTGAGCGGCTCTTTTTTGTATTTTCCCAGTGCAAAGCATGCCAGACCCTTGATGGGCCAGGAGTTCGTGGGCGCTCAGTGGCAGGCAAGTCTTTGACAGCGGTTACGCAATCGCTTTTCTTTTACGCAGCTCCGAACCATGCGGCTCATGCTTCATTGCTCTCTCTTCCTTGACAACGACCTTCTGGAAGCCATTTCAAGTTGGCCGCACATCCTCTTGCTGGAATTGGTGGACATAAGGATGTCACGCTCCATTACATTCCGCGGATTGTTCGCAGCGCTCCGTCTATGCCCCCACTTACATACGCTAAATATATAATTGGACGCCATGAAAATCGATATCGATTTCAAAGCCGAATTACTCCAACGCACCACTTTACAAATGTTAGACTTGACCCGGTCTCATGTAGCGGATGCTGAAGCAGTCGTTCGCATCGTCTTCTCCATGCTCCCTCGTATCAACTATACTGACAGGCGAGACCCCTGGCGCACTGGGACTCTCTTCCCGTAGGAGTGGGACGAGGTCAACAGGCATCTTGAACCTTGAATCGTTGAAAATTTCTGCGGTGCTTGGCCGCCATATCACAGAAGCAGCCGAAAATCCTGTGTGTGGGATAAGTACGCTGATGTCCGGGAAGTTGTCCGAGTCTGTCCTATGGCAAAAACGCGCCGAGGTACATGGCAATGCCCTTGTGTTGTGCATGGTTTGTTGCACCCTAATAACCTGATGTGGTTGTACTGTTTCTGTCACCTCTTCTAACCTACTACACAAAATAACATTTTTGCAGAAAATCAGTTTCATCTAGAAATTGCTTTCGGTGAACTTCTCGTTTCCACCATATATACACCGTGACCTAAGTTTAGTCACTCCGTTAATGATGCCCGTAGCCAGACCATTCCGTTCGGGAAAGGAAGAGCTCAGGTGTTTTCACACTACCATCGATCAACTTTCGACATTTCAGGACCTGTCCCAAAGCCTCTGGGATCAGCTAGATTTTTCTTCTTTCTACTCATTTGATCGGTGCATGTCATTTAGATGTATAAGTCCGCTCTCAACTGAAATATCAAAATGGATATGTTGTCACATATGCAATGCGGATTGCGCTAGGTTGCTCCTGAAATGGGCCCTCAAGCTCGTAATATGATAGGAAGTTTGATACATATTATCTACAAGCCGGGGTGTAGGACCGAGCTGGAGTCATGTCTGGTGTGATTGTCAAATGACGAAGACGGGATATATCTTGGAAAGCCGTGCGGTTTTTGGCGGAGCCTACAAAAGCCGAGGTGCAAAAAAAAATCGCCAGCCATAGGCGGAGAACTCTGAGCCGCTCTCTCAATTGTTTTACGGAAAAGAGTGAGAATGCGTGCTTCGCCGCGGTGGATGCAAGTCATTTAGATAGGACTGATGGCGAAGGATCTGGCAAAGAGAAGTTTTCAGTTTGGATGCTGCGCCAGGTGGGTTCGTTGAACTGAGCCAGGACAGTGTCCGAGCCGAAAGCTGTGTACACGAGGACAGGCCTCAGTAGAGCAAAAATGACCATCTTTATCGTCTAAGGTCTGCCTAGGGGAGACTAAGGACAGGCTGAGAAATAGCCCAGAAATAGCCCAGAAGACGGATAAATAGGGAGAAAGAGTATGCGTCTTCTTTGACCCGATGTTGTTATCTGTGAAGAAGGCCTGCGGGGATTCGCCGGCGCCAAAATGAAGAATCCGTTCAAATAATAGGCGCGAGGGCTTGATCAACGGTGAGTAACGACGTTTTTATGAGTCGTGTGAGGGTAACCTCGAATCGTCGTTTTGGAGGACGCACCAAACACTTCCCAGAACTGTATCCGGTTGTCCCAGAACGTCTGGTTCAAACGAGACTAGCTTGAGGGGTACCTCCGTACTAAATGATGCTTAAATGGTGTATTTCCTAATGGATTTTTGAAAGGATTCGCGGATCGTCCCACAATTCCATCGGAATGTCGGAGCTACAAAAGGAAGAGCTTGCCCAATCAGGGTACGAGGTGTGGGTCGACTCAACTAAAGCCGTTTCATGATGTCAGTCGGTGGCGAACTCATTTATAGACTCTGGCTAGGCCGTCACCAGGAACACTCACCAGAAGGGCGGCAAAGTATCGTCATCAGCCCGGCAAAGTATCACAGTCATCAGCCCTGGATATAATCGTGGCTCATTGCAAGGCGATGCTATGCCACAGCATTATTGTCATGGTGGTGCCGTATGCATATGGACTTTGCTTCCATGCTTGGCAAAGTTTGATCACGGAACGTTGTTGGAAACACGGGAATTGAAACCAACTAACGATGGCATTGGTGAGGCGGGGCAAATCAATGGACGAAATTAGCACCACAATGAAAGTCATGAGCGTTTCACTTGTCAGTGTCGGTGGTGTATTCCACCACCAGTAATATTCATATTTGGACGTGTGAATTTGCGTGTTGTAAATTTGAACCTCCGAATCTTTGGGACTAATTAGCAAAGAATACAACGACCGCAAAGGTTTCTGACGAACATTGATGGTGGTGATAAGCGAGGTTTCGAAGCAAACAGAGTTTGGTGGACATTGAGAAGCCTTGGCCGGCAGGGAGCTTGAAGGTGGGAATCGAGAAAGATCAAATGTAGCGCTGTATGCATACAAAATAACTCGCAGAGCTCACCGTGGTGGAATAGCCCCACATGGCGCGGGTGAGTCCAATCTGTAAGTAGTCTACCAACAGCTGGTAACTGACTGCGTTGCCAGTAGACACCAGGCATGCAGATGGGCCAGAGAAAGAATATGTCAAGATTGAACCTATAACGGTCACGATCACTTGCATGGCAAGGAGACGAATGGCTGATCCGAATCACAAAACTGTCATCGCGACTGAGTTGCCGCGAATCTTCGAGGTAGCACTTAACTCTAAGTCCGAATGTGGCAAGTTAGCCCTTGATAATGATGATCATGGGGAGTTTTCAACTTTTCTTGGAACACCCGCATCACGGTAGCCGAAACGTTTCCTGTCAATGCTGCGTACCATATGTGGCAATAATTTACCACCAATATTTGAATAATAAGATATGACCTACTTCCTGCACTTCTTGGAAGTCGAATACTGGAAGCACTTGATGAGAATTGAACCCTGCAGGATGAAGTGTTCTTGCGGAGCGTGCGTGCGTGTGGGCGTGGTGAAGAAAAGATCTACGCGACAAAAGAGAACGCGTTGTTTGGTTGTGTTGTTGCACAAGTGTGTTCCGTTCAGTCCTTGAAATTACACGCCGGTATAGCCTACTTGAACGGGTTGACGCCACATATCCCGCCAGTGCTTTAACGCGTCCACGACAGTTTTACGATTCTAACTTTGTAACTCTACCTTTTTTCGTTTCTTGGTTTGCTGTATTACTGGCCCGGGCTGGTCTTGCTTCTCCTCCTCTCCGGCGTTCATACCTTTTGGCGGCTCTATCGGTCTGTTCATTCTAATTCGCTCTGTTCCTTCATCTTGGTTAGTTTTGCTTCCACCCTGAGCCTATCTTTCTTGTTGGTATCAAAACGCCTGGCGCAACCTTGGTCCTGTGAGCGATCTCAATCGTTTAGCAGAAGGCGCTCGGATTGTCGTGCGAGTGAGCTGACATTTCTGTGCGTGTTCTTTCTTATTCCTTGTTCGTGGATCCATGTCAGTGACCTTGCAGTTTATGGCTATCAGCCATACATCACCCGCAACTGTTGCAGCCGCTAGGACCACGCGGTGATAATATCTTGCCCACAAATTTACTGGTTACCCTCGGCCACCCCGAGCGTCGGCCCGCAAAAGACATGCCTACAGCTCATCTTCACATAAATACAGACGTCGCCCGTGATACGAGCAATTTGAAAAGACCAAATGATACCTCCGCTCCAAATCTGATGAACTTAAATATGTCCGTTACCCGGATGAGGAGTGGGTCCACCGCGTCAACTTCATCCTCCATATCTGTTGACTCCCCCGGTCCATCATCTTCCTCTGCTTCCTCATCTTCGCTCAACCTGCCTGATTCCGAGAAGTCACCCCGCACCCTTCCCTATCCCTTGGCAAGCCAGTCAGATGAGACTGTTCGCGTCTCTCCTTCTCCGGAATTCGTTCTTGCATTACATGACTTTCACCCTCAACACCAGAATGCAACTTGTCTTTCGTTCCGAGCTGGGCAGGTGATTCACGTCCTAAATCGGGATTCGAGTGGATGGTGGGATGGTGAGATCAACGGTCAGAGGGGATGGTTCCCCAGCAATTACGTCAGTGCTGATGAAAGAGTAATTTCACTGACGGAGGAAGACCTACCTCAATCACCTGTATGTCGTTATAAAAGCATGCACTTTAAAATTATTAACAACATTGTCTCGGTTGCATCAGGCATCTCGCCACGGACATACTATGTCCGCCGTATCGGCGGCTTCTTGGGCTAGCGCCCCCTCACGTGGTTCGCGAAAGGACCACAGACCGTTGGTCACTGAAGCTCTTGGATCGGACATAACATCATACTGTCCTCCTCTTATGGTCAATCTTTTGCACAGCCTATCCCTCCTCCAGAGTGCAGTTCGTTCCAACCGCATCGCTCATTTTCAGCCTTCCACTGCCTGTATCATATCCTGTGTGCGGTACATCCTGTCGTCGACAGAGTGTTTACCTAGGGAGGCACCGTTATTAAAGCGCTTCCCCTCCCTCGCTCAGGAGCGGAAACAGATTCTGTCCGTCCTTGCAGCCCTAGTATCACAAGCTAAAAAGGCATCGGATGAGGCGCAGGATGAAGATTCACGGGAGACAGAAATCGAGGGGATGTTGAAATTGGGCGGCCAGGTCTTCTCACAAGTGCGGCGATTTCTTGCTGTTGCTGTGCAATGTGGCATCGACTTGCCGGAAAGGCGTCAGCAGGCTACCGAAGAAGCTATCGCTAGCTCGCCTGGCCTACAGGGGCAAGCGAGCCCTGCAGAAACTGATGACAGAGTCCCAGCATCATCCGATCCTGTCACTCCATCTCGTCTGTCGTCTCGTCTAGCAACTCCCCGACAACTACACTCGCATGATGGCGCCCTGCAGAAGACAGCCCCGCGGACCAAAAGCTTGGGAGATCTGAGGTTGCAGCGGAGATTAGCTGCATATCGAGATTCGGACTCTTCCGTTGCTCCCCTCCTGCCTCACAGAACGGTACTATCCCGGTCGAAGAAGGATCAGTATCTCGTCTATGAGCGTGTCGTTGGAAAGCATAAAGCCGACATGCCATCCATCAGTAGCATTTCATCGTCCTCGTCATTTTCGTCTGCCGAGTCGCCGAAGCCACCAGCAATGCCTCTTTTCCCATCAGGACCCTCGACATCTTCGGAGGTGATGGAGGCTCTGAAATTTACCCATGATCAGTATCTATCCACTATTGCCGCCTTCATCGGCCATGCACACTCTCATTCACGATCATCACATGCTTCCAGCACGGGTCAGATGTATGATCTCGTGCGAGAAGTGGTGGAGATGGTGTGCAAGTTGCTCACTATCGTCGAAGCTGTCATGCGGCATCCGGAAATCCCATCTCACAAGATTGGGAACTTGAAATCCGCAAAAGAGAGGTTGTATACTGTCACTAGCTCCCTTGCCGAATCCGTGCGGTTACTCACGGTGCCCCTTCCTCCCGACCTCACAGAGGAATCCGAAAAGGCATCCCTGATACGATCCGCTACAGCGGCATGTAAAGCGGGCGCAGATTGCGTTTCGGCTGTCAAAATCTGCCTGAATAGGGCTTCGGGAGAAAGACAGTTCATCATCCAAATACCTACAACGTCCGATTCGGACCCGGCGCCGTTCACCCCAAGCAAATTTTCTCGTAGGACTGGTCAAACGCAGGCCCTCAGCTTGTCCACGGCTCAAAGTTTGTATCACAACAGCATCGACGAAAATGATCTCACTATACAGGTTCTGACACCGGCTTCTCCCACCCCCAATGCTCCTGGCCACCGAGGCAGACCTTCAGACACGTCCAATGTCACGGCAACTTCTGATTCATCAGACGGTTCACAGGAGACTCAGCCGACAACACCAGAAGGCGGTCTATTATCTATGAGTGACCCCGACTTGGTGAAGCCGATGGAGCCTATATCATCGCCTTCACCGGTAGTTGATGATGAACATGCGGACGAACAACAGGATCGCCAGACCATTGACGCATTTGAGGAGCGGTTGATAAACGATGAGCTTCCTGTCACACTACAAGTGAAGCGTGATCCTCTTGGTCATGACCACTCTACAAACGATGTCGTCTACAACAATGAAGGTCACCTGGTGGCAGCGACAATGGAGGTGCTGTTCGAAAGGATGACACCCCACGACAGCATTGTAGATCCTGCGTTCTCAGCAGTCTTCTTCCTCACCTTCCGCCTTTTCTCTACTCCCCTTGCACTCGTGGAAGCGCTCATCAACCGCTACAATATCATGCCTCCATCCAATCTTTCAGAAGATGAAATGTTGCTTTGGCAGCAGCACAAGGGCATCCCAATCCGACTGCGCGTATCCAATTTCGTGAAGACGTGGTTGGAGATGTACTGGCGACCTGGGGTTGACGACGTCGCTCTCTCGCATCTTTCATCATTCACAAAAGATGCGCTCCTACATTATTTCCCTGCGCCCTCTCAGCGGATTCTCGATTTAATTTCCATGCGGCAAGACTCCAATACCAGTCTTGTGAGCCCAAAGAGTGAACGTGTCCGCGATCCTGGCATGTCAATCAATCCTCCGTCATATTCACCGTCCGAGGTTCCACGACCAACGATGACGAAGGCGTTGCTTGGCACACTTCGTGGAAAGAATTTCGACACTGTTGCCATTACTGATTTTGACGCTCTAGAGTTGGCGAGACAACTGACGATCATGGAATGCGACTTGTACTGCGCGATCCAGCCCGAGGAGGTTCTTGAGACGGGACAGGAGGGTACAAAACCCCCTGTCAACGTCAGAGCTGTTTCTTCCCTAAGCACAGTCATCACGGGATGGGTGGCCGAGAACATCTTGAACGAGCACGATATCAAGAAGCGGACGTTACTCGTGAAATTCTTTCTCAAAGTTGCCGATGTGAGTGAATACGAAATTGTTGTTTCTCTTTCAACCGACTGTTGCCTTTCAGCGATGTACTTCATTGCACAACTTCAGCACTCCTCGGTCCATCCTAGCGGCCCTTGAATCTTCCACGATATCTCGGCTTCATCAGACTTGGCTAGTAAGCATCCTTCATATTCACCCCATCGTGTTATCCATAGGAAATTTTCCAGGGTGTTCCACAAAAGAGTAAAATGCAGTTGGACTCTTTGCGTCGATTAGCAGATCATGGGCGGAACTACCATCAGTACCGAAGTAGGCTTCGCAACATAGCCCCTCCAGCAGTTCCATTCTTAGGTACGACAGTGCTTTTATCTGAAAGTTCTATTGTGTTGACCAGTGTGAAGGTCTTTACTTGACCGATGTAACTTTCTGTCGCGAGGGAAACCCGTCATACCGCGAGTCCCCTAATGCACCAGGGAAGAAACTTCTTAATTTCAACAAGTACCACAAGCTAGCTCGAATTGTTCAAGGTCCGTAACCTATAATCACTGTGGATTTCTTGACTCAAGATTTATTCTCAGACATGCAACGTTTTCAAGTGCCATATAATCTTAAGAAAATTCCGGAGGTGCAGGAATACCTGCAGATGGCATTTGAGAATTCTAAGCACCACGGCGACCTTCAGGATCTCTATAGACGAAGGTTTGTGAGGTCCACAGCTTCTATGAACGTTCGCTGAATTGGCCATTATAGCCTGCTTGTTGAGCCAAAACAACCTGCCGACACACCTCCTCCCAGCGATATGCGGCAATTGTTCAACTGGGCGACACGCTCACAGGCACAACCACCCACATCTACCTAATGTTGCTTCTTCATTCCATGTCTGTTCGGAATCGTTCTGTCTTCTGTCCTTGGTGTTGTCCTTGTTTATTCTATAATCACTCTTGCATTTCCCCCAACCCGTGCCCATTCATTGCATTTTGAGTCATATTTTTGCTGTTTTGTACTCCCACGCACGCATGGAAACCTCTAGCTAATTCGACCCTTATCCAGCTCTGTAATATGCAGCGGTGTTGTGTTGACCACAAAAATAAATGAAATTCAACATGAACGAACAAGATGGTAAATAACTTGGAAGGTATTGTCTATGTACGGCTGTGATTGTATTGGGTGACGCAATATCCGACTCCGTTCTTCTTTAGTTTGAGGGGATCATGCTGGGAGCGTGTGGAAGAAGAAGAAGGTAGGAAGGGGTATGTCTCTTTAGTCACACCTAGCCCAAAGTCGAGCACAAATGGTCGACTTTGCGTAACGCCAAAAAGACGAGAGCTCTCGAGTATCAGGGAGTAGACTGGAGATGAGTCGTTGCCTGGAGCGTGTACACTCCATCCCTCTGTGGGACGGCGAACATCCCAGAATGCAACAACGCTGTGACGGGCAGTGCCTGCTGCAACAAAACTTGAAGAACCGCCTCCACATGACACGGAATAGATGGGCTCATCAGACCAGGGGTCACGGAACGTGAGCATGGGACGCAAGGGGGCAGGAGTGCCCGTCACCCCTGAATCACGCCGGCCTGAGCGCATATCATGCACCTGAACAGCGCCATCGTACCACCCGGATACGACGACCTGTTTTGAGGATCCCCATGGTGCAGATGGTGGCGCGTCCGTTATATCGTACACTGCAGTGGAACGTTCGCGTGTGGAATGCAGGATGGCAAATGGTTCAGGAGATAGTTCGGAAGGCGTTACGGCGTGAACGGCGAGAGGATTCGGGGATGTCGTGCCAAATGCCGTAAACGGCGTGGAGGATTTCATGCAGATATAACTGGACCATGATCTACAATCCAGGTTTATGGCGCTGACGAGCGGCGAATCTGAAGATAAGTTGCAGAGGCCTGCTGTTCCGAAAGATGATAGAGACAGGAGCATGTCATCTGAGCATGTCAGGCTCTCTACTAGATCGATGATGCGCAATCCGAGAGGGGAATCGCGTTCGATGGTCAGTGAGAATGGCTTATTGTTGGGTTGCTCCTGAGGAAGAAATACACGATGTATATGTCCGTCTTCGAACCCGACAGCTACTGTCCTTTCCGAATGACCATCGGGAATAAAGGTGATGCTTGTGATTTCCCGCCGGTCTGTGAACGAATATGAGCCCTCGTATAAGACCCCAGGAGCACCATCATTGAGCGAGGAAGAGTCGGTTATACGATATGCGTAGATGGTGTGACCAGCAGCAACTAGCAATACGGAAGCAGACAGGGCAATTATAGGCTGAAGTTTACTGCGCCAGGGATGTGATAATGGTCGCGCGTTAAACTTGGCCCGAGTCCAGCAGCGGTCAGACGCAACATTGTATCGAACTTGATCAAAAGAAGACCAGCTTCTGCGTGCCGGCTGCAACGTGAATGACGGACGAACGTTGTATTTGAGGTAGAGCGACCATCCAAACTCGTGGACCTTTAGTTATGGGCGCAATCAGATATCAATTATGGGAGAAAAATAAAATTTACCAAGAGGTTTACGAATTTGCAGGTGTAAGAGAAATTGACCAGTTCTACTATACCAAGGCTTTCCATTATGATGACTAGGACATCGCTTGGAAGGATGAGACCAGGGGCCTCGACAGTCATAGCGTTCTGTGGGTAAGAGGCGCCTTCAAGTTGGTCTCGGTCCTGTACGGACTTCCATAAAAGGGCTGCTTGTGCTTACATAAGAACACAGTGCCGATCCGTGCCGAGACAGCTAAGGCCACTACCAAACAGGGAGGGATTAAGTACACTGGCAGTTTCATTGTTCACGTCCATCGTCAACGTCTAGCTAAGGCTTCTCACAGAAGCAGAGTCAGGTTTATTACCTCTTCTTTTGAGAGGGTCATGAGGAGGGATGTCCGCATTTTGCTTGTAGGAGACGGTGCGTTGTTATCCCCACTATTCACCGCGTGTACTGATGCAGTCTTTGCAGAGGGTGTTGGTAAAAGTACCATTGTCACCTCTCTCATCAAGGAAGCTTTCGTTGCAAATGTATGAATTCCTCTTCCACGCGTAATTACGCTACTAATGGCCTCAATACCAGGTTCAACATGTCGTTCCGGAGGTCACTATTCCACCGGAGGTGACCCCAGAGAACGTGACCACTTATATTGTCGATTCAGGAGGTATGAACCACAGTTTTATGAAGTCAAGACGTGCATTTCTCAAATTACGATACAAGCTGGCCCACAAGACCGACAGCATCTCGAATCGGAAGTACGCAAAGCGCATGTTATTTGCGTAGTATACTCAATCGACAACCCTCACTCATTTGATCGAATACCGACGTATTGGCTTCCCTTGTTTCGTCAATTAGGCGTCAACGTTCGTTTCGTCTTAGCTTCCTTCCATCAGCCTAACAATATTTTCAGGTTCCTGTGATCCTCGTCGGAAATAAGATCGACCTAAGAGGCGGCGAGGTCACTAATGAAGACCTTGAAGAAGAGATCGTACCCATCATGAATGAGTTCAAGGCATGTCAAATTTCTTGTGATATTCTCAAACTAAATAATATCACCTAGGAAGTCGAGACATGCGTCGAATGCTCCGCTCAGATGCCGCTGAACGTGTCGGAGGTCTTCTACTTTGCTCAGAAAGCGGTCTTACATCCCACTGCTCCTCTTTATGACTCCAGGGATCATGTACGTACCGACAGCTCGTGGTAGGTTCTCAACTAAAGTTCTCCAGGTCCTGAAACCCGCTTGCGTCAGCGCCTTGAAACGAATATTCAAGCTCTGCGATTCGAACAAGGATGGTGTATTGGATGCCGCAGAGCTGAATGAATTCCAAGTATGCTTTTCACCTCTTGGCATCTGGAAGTGCTAAACACGGAAGCTGGTAGCGAAAATGCTTTGACGCGCCGTTACAACTCCAGGAGCTTGAAGGAATCAAGGATATGGTTCGCGAACATGCAGAGGAAGGCGTGCGAGACAATGGGTTGACTGAGGCTGGATTTTTGTTCCTGCATACGATATTCATTCAACGCGGAAGGCTGGAGACAACATGGACTGTTCTACGCAAATTCGGTTATGCAGAAGACCTGCGACTCACTGAGCCGTTCCTACTCCCAAAGTACGCAATTTATTTTCGCGAGCTCCCAAATTGATGGATCTTACAGATTCGACGTGCCCCATGACTGTTCTGTTGAACTGAGTCCCCAAGGATATCAGTTCTTCACCGAAATCTTTCAAACTTTCGACAAGGTTTGGGCATCAAAACGTACCTTTATGTCACTCACATGTATATCTAGGATCAAGATGGTGCACTCAACGGCACAGAATTGGAAGAACTGTTCAGTACTTCCCCAGGGAATCCATGGGCAACTCAAAAATTCCCGGACACAACCCTCGTGGATGATAAAGGTGCGGTCACTTTGCAAGGTTGGCTCGCTCAATGGAGGTCTGTGTTTTGGGGTTACTACCTGTTGAAAGCACTGCTTATGCACCTGTCCTTATGTGCCAGTATGACCACTCTCTTAGATCATAAAACCACCCTCGCATACCTTGCCTATCTTGGATACCCTGATGAACAACGCACTTCCGCACTACTAACGACACGTCCCCGCAAACTTGACCGTCGGAAAGGCAAAGTTACCCGCAACGTTTTCTTATGTTATGTCTGTGGTGCGGCCGGTTCAGGCAAGACGTCTTTACTGCGGTCATTCGCTGGAAAGCCATTTCGCGAGTCCTATGAGCCAACTAGTAAGATGGTGAGCGTAGTTAACGCGGTGGATATTGATGGGTCAGAAAAGTATCTCGTGGTAAGGTCTTAACAACACTTGGAACGTGGGTAATTGACTGCAATTGTCTTTAGCTTCAGGAATTCGGATCTAAATATGAGGCAGAAACGCTTCGAGCATCGAAGAAGACGGATCTTGCCGATGTCATAGTCTACGTGCACGATTCCAGTGATACTAACTCGTTCTCTTACATCAGTAATCTACGGGTGAGTTATTTTGACCCTCGAACGTGGATTCTGACCAAAATTCGATTATAGCAACAATACAATCTCGATCACACACCGACCCTATTCGTTGCAACAAAGTCAGACTTGGATCTTGCACAACAGGTTTGAATATATCTCGCTAGAACCAGTTCCTTTCTGATGTCATCGCAGAGACACGAAGTTCAGCCCGACGTATATTGCAGACGGCTCGGTCTCCAGGTGCCTGTCGCTGTCAGCGTTAAGACGGGACAGACCGCAGACGTCTTCCACGCAATATGCAGCATTGCCATGAGCCCGTGAGTCGTTCCTGCTCTTTTGTTTTCTGAAGGCCTGCTGACCACCTTTTTTTTTAGTCACGCGGCAATACCCGGAGGGGCAGATCGTGCGATGACAGCCTCAGAACGGCTGCGTGTTTACGTGGCGTTTACTGCGCTACTAGGGGGCGTCAGTGCGGGTCTGGTGATGCTCTTCAGGAGTCTCTCGCGACCAGGTGTGGCGATTCTTCCTAGTTGGACAACACCTTGGGCTACATGGCTGTTGGGTAGAAGGGACCCTTGATTATCTTCGCATATTGCATATCTATTACATAGAGTTACTTTACGGTTGAGTTCGTGCAGATGAATCCTAGATTAGTGTCCTGGGCGCTGGGTTAGTTATACAGACAAGATCCGATGTCCGATTGCTCAGATCCGAGATGCCTGCAGGATGTCGCCTGGAACTGCACACAAGAAGCCCTCTCTCCAGAAGCTGTAAACGTTTACCAGGTTGGATCCTCAACAACTCTTTTAACCACCTCTCAGGTAACAAGGAGCACGAAAACAGACCAAGTATTCATCCAGAAATATTCCCAGGAGCTCCCATCTGAACCAACTACATAATACCGTTACTCGCAATGGATGAAGACATGGATTTTGATGCCAACGCAACGCAGCCGACACCCCCGTTTCACCGTCAAGAATACTATGACGGAAGAAAGATGCTGTACGTGTCTGCAAGACTCTATTCCAGCCGTCATGTTCACCCGTGTACAGCGATTTGGTGTTTGTGCAAGACTGTACGGGTAGCCAAGGAAGCTACATCTCCTCTGCAACGAAGAACATCGAGGAGATTTGTGCACATATTTTTGAATCGGGGAAGCTACAATCGCAAGAAGATTTGCGCGTCGGCCTTGTTGCATTCCGCGACCATCCGCCACAGGATCATACATATGTTGTCAAGAACTTTGGGTTTTCATCTGATATCAGCAAGGTGCATCGGGACCTTGCGGGGCTTTATGCTTCTGGGGGTGGTGATGGACCGGAGGCCGTGACAGCTGCGCTCGCAGAAGCACTCCATATGGACTGGAGGGAGCATGCGAGTAAGATGGTCGTCCTGATTGCTGATGCGCCACCGCATGGAATAGGAGAGTATGGAGATGGTGAGTATGGTGATCTAGCTGGTCGAGCGATGTACTTAATCGTTGGCAGGATTCGACGAGGGCTCTCCAGACGGACACGATCCGTTACAACTGGTTCGCGAAATGGCTAGCCGAGGCATCACGCTGGTACGTTTTATTACATACTGTCTAACGGTCAATGATTTAGATCACCGGTTTCCCTAGTTCTTTGTTGCATGCGAACCGGCGCTTAGTGGTTACTCGGTATGGGTCGTCGTTGCTTGTTTGTCACAGGTACTTAGATATGTTTCAGTATGCGACAGATTTCTACCAAGCAATTACAACCATCACGTCTGGGCTCATGCTCCCACTCACGACGGCTGATCTCCTTTCGCATGCGATCGTAGGCAGTGTGTTGGAAAACCTCGATATGGAGCGCCTTGTTCGAGAGGTGGGGCATGCCGTCGCACAGCGAATTCTAGGGAACAATGAAAGCGTCGATGATGTCGCTCGTGAACTGCACGAGAAGTTACTCCTCCGAAATGAAAGCACCAAGAAAGTGGTGATCGAAAGCATCTACAAGGAGTCTCCTGAAGCTATGCATAACGTTGCCGTCTTCACTCACGCCGCATCGCTGCATGAGGCGAAATCGCAGTTGAAGAGGGTGCGTCGTGCACTTACGTTTCCTTCACGAGCTAACGCCTGTCATTTTCAAAGGTGCAAGGCACGCGTTTCACGGAAAAGTATCTCATCGCACGACAGACTGCGAACCGGAGTTTGTACTCATATCCATATTCACCCCATACTCCTTCTAGACCAGAAAAGTCTTATTCTTCTATGACGCCGAGCACCAGCCCATCCTCAGTGGCGGCGTCCCCTCCTCGTAAAGTCGTATCTGACTTTGCTGCATTCGGCGCGCCGAAGAACGTTAGCGTGTTTGGAACTGCTGTTGCCTCGACGCCTTTTTCGTTGGCGGGTGGCAAGGCTGCGTTTGGCGGCATCAGGGGTGGTGGTGGTCGAGGCTCGTACGATGTTGATGACGACGATGAAGACGATGGCGATGGTAGGCAGCGGGTGGAACTCAGGGAAGATTCCATCTCGCTTGATCAGGTATGCCTGGCTTGTTGCCCTGATATCTCGTGCTCATTTCTGTGCAATACAGGCCCGGCGCATCGCTATGCAAAGCGCATGGCGGAGCGTGCGAGGTTGATGACCTCGTACATGTTCATTCTGATTTTTTGTTGTTCTGCATCACGATTGTGGTTGGCTTCTTTTTGTCAGTATGATATCACGATGATGGATCATGTAGAATAGTTGCACATAAATCGCAATCATTAGCACCTTGGTTTGTATCATTGGAAACTGGGGCAGTGTTTTATTTTCACGAGAATTACTCGAATGTCATTACAGTAGTGCAATGGTATATCTGTGATAATGGTGAAAAGGATGAAATGCTAATTTATGGATCCGTCTTCGTATCTATGTCGTTCACAGTCGCATGGCCGTTAACCTGAGGAGAAGTATCGACGGTTCTTTCATGTTGTCCCCGTGATCGAGGCTGATCGACGCTCTTGAAGACTACATCTCCAGGTGGTTTTCGAAGTCCTGCATTATCAGGCAATTTTTTCAATGCTTTCAAAGCCCTCTTGGCTTCCTTCCGCGCCCTGCGTTCGTCTTTCGTCTCAAGATCGTGTAGTATAGACTTTTCTGTCCCAGTTTTTGCTGCCTTCTTCGCTGCTTTCTTCTCCCTTTTCTCCCGTTTCAATCGTTTTATTTCTCTCCGCTGATCTCGAGTCTCGGAGTGCTCTGATATTTTCCGCTTTGTGCTTTTCTTTTTGCTTGGGACGTCAGTCTGAGGAGCGATCTCTCTTTCGGGAGTAGGATCGGCAGAATGGAGGGGGGACGGAGGGGATGATGTCAGATTACTGGGATCATCAGGGGCTAATGTTGGCCCACGGAAAAAGCGAGAGTATAAGCCCTTTCTTGCAGCCTCACGTTTCGCAATGGTCATTATAGAGATGCGTGGGTGAGAGTCTAAGTCTGGGGTAGATGTTCCGGATGCAGGGGTTCCCGACAGCGGTCTTCTATTCGATATGATGCCCGTCGCAGTACGTTTTAGTTGGAGGGTCGTGGACCCTAACGAATCCTAATCATACAATGAGCGGGTGATGATGCGGTTAGGAAACGCAAGCGCAGACCTCATTATCGTCGGCGTCGGCATCGTCGTCATCGTCACCATCTGCTATCTTGATGGTGATAGCTTTCGTGGCAGCTGAATATAGGCTTTGAATGGATGAGGTATTAGAGAATTTGAATGGGAGAGAACGCACTGATCCCAGAAGGGGAATGCCTCGTCGCGATCCTTGCCTACGCCGGAGAGGTTTCGTTTTTGAGGGATGGCAAGGGGCCTGTCGATGGCGCCGGTGCGAAGGCCTGTGCCTTTGCCTGACCATCCGTATGATGTCAGGTAGCTGTGTCCGTCGAGAGGCATGAAGCAAGGACTAGAAAATAATAATAATAATAATATGTATTATCGATTGCTTATTATTTTCATTTGTATAACCCTAACCCCACACCCCCAGTGACTTCACTTCATTCTATCGTGAGGTCACCGACGCCGTATGACAGCGTTGAGTTAGCAACATCAGAGAATAGTGTTGGGCCCTAGCGTGACAAAGTAGCACTGGGGGTTGACTCCCTCTTGGAGAAATGTGAGGCAGTACTGTGCGATATTACATGCCAATTTAAACACTTGAACAATACAATGTCTCTGAGAAAAAGAGTGAGGGTCCGTGCGTTTGTGTCGCTCACGTCAGCAAAACACTGTGTCACCAAAGTTTCCCCTTGCGCCTACAATTCCCATCAAATTACGCTTTCCACCTTTTCTTGAACCTGTATCTTCTTCAACTGCAATCAGCAAACAGGAAATCGCTGGTCTCTTAGCTTCTTTCGCAGGTTCAAGTCGCACTATTATGGATATCGACAACCCCCCACCGCAGGATCTTGACTCAGTTGATCCCGCCCAGTCTTTGCGCGCAGCCGCTTTGCTTTCAAGAAAGCGCCGTAAAGTGGCTGTCGAGCAACCGCCAGTACTGCCTCAGCGTCCTCTGGTCGAGCAGACTCTGCACTTAGATTACGGTCAAGAGGATACTGCTACACCCTCAGCGTCTTCTGCAAAATTTCCCGCGACAGATGCAAATGTTCCATCGACATCAGAAGAGGTTCCTAATCCGATACTAGACATTGAAGATGGTCAAATCCGAGAGGAAGGTGAAATCAGCGATACAGAAGAAGCCGCCGCCCCGCCAAGGCCCACGTCCCCGCCTCCAAAATTCCGGAGGCTCGAAACTTCCTCCAAGGACGCCGTCGTCTCCAAACTTGTTCCTACCTCTCCAGTCGAGTCAAATTCTAGGCATAGGCCTTCACCTCGCCTCGAGTCTCCTTTTGCGTCAAAACCCCCATTCGGATCAGAAATCTACGAGCCACCACCGCCAACTTTCTTGCAACCGTTTGTTCTCGAAACATCCACCTATAGACTTGACCCAGATCATGTCAGGCCAGGGCTGGCCAGTTCGTATTAGCTTTTCATTGATGACGTTAACTGATCATTTTTATAATCTTGCGATACAGTGACCGAGGATCAATATAACACCGCAAAAGATATCGTCTTGGATCTACTCGGTTGGGGTGTTCCCCCCGAGTACCTCATCGACTGCGGCCTTAGTCGTCATGTCGTCTTCTACGTTTTCACCGAACTTAATTTGCGGATGCCCACAAACTTGGATACCAATGGTCTCGTTCCATACCCTACACCTGAAATGTTGTCCTCCATTCCCGCTTCACCTTCGCAATCAATCCGCTCATCCTCATCAGCGATGCCCCCACCCCCGACAATCCCTTCTCACAAAGAGTTGGCCAGCCCAGTTGCAACTGCTTCTGATCGCCCGCATAGCAGACTATCTGCTCGTCTCGGCCTACGCATTCCGCCAGGGGGTGAGCCCACTGACGTGAAGGTGGAGCCCACATCCCCGTCAACAGCTGACTCGTCGTCTCATTCTCTTCACATGATCGAGCAGCAACGGCGACAAGAGCTACTCGCTCGAAAAGCTGTCTTCGCTTCTCGCAAGGCCAAGCAGTCTGATTCCCCTGGCGGTTCATCTTCGAGGGACAGGGACGTTGAAATGTCTTATGTTGCTCCAACTGAGATTGTCGAAGATTTTTTAAAGAGCATTCCTGCTGTGGATAACGAAATTGCAGATAATGGTAGCAACTCAACATCCTTGCGCCCGGCACGGTACTCCAGCCCTGAAAACATGGAAGTTGACCAGGCCTTCGCTGGTCTTATCACACCGCAATCGGCCTCTTCTACAGGGCCATCTGCTTTCCATTCGGCTGCTTCAGAAGCGTCTGTAGTAGACGATACTATTTCGCCGGTGACTGATGCTCCACCTTGGTCCGGCAATTCCACTGCGCCATCCTCGGATACGTATTCTGGCGCATCCTCATCCACCGCGCCGGCTGATTACTCCAATTCTACCACTCCAATTTTCGCATCTTCTACTCCAGGTTTTGATTCCAATGGTCTACAACGAAGGGGTACCAAGCGACCAGTCGCTGCAGACTTCGTTGATTTTGACCACGGTCCTGGCCCTTCCAAAGCTTCTTCTGGCAACGGGTATTCGAGTAATGGCTACACGCATCCCAATCTACTTCGACGGACCACAGGGAGTTTTGCAGGAGTGAGTGGTATGCGACGATGTGTTATCGAACTCAGCGACAGCGAGGATGATGGAGATGGCGAAGGGACTGGTGGTGATACTGGCCCATATGACGGTCCACCATCGTATTCACCGATGGTTTTTGGGCGCCTTCCACGTTTTGGTGGCAATGGGACGCCAATTTCGTCCAATAATTTCGCTAACGGCGAAGGGCGTTCGACTCCCCCGAATCTGCATCTAGCCAACGCCAGCGCTTCTTTGGGTATGTCGCCTGCTGCTCTCGTTGAGAAAGAGGAGGAGATCAAAAGGATGCGCCAAATGATTGCTCAACGAGAAGAACTTCGGCAGAAAAAGCTTGCCGCAGTGCGTTCCCCCTTGTGCTTGCTTGACCTTCGTAAGATGATTTACCAACGTCTCAGATGTCGGGGAAAGCGACGCCGGCGATCCAACCTGCGGCCGCAGGGCCTCTCACAGCCGATCCTCCTGTATCTTCGTCTAGCATTGTCATGGTTAGGTCGGAAGGTGATTCCGGAGCATCCATCAAACAGGAGGACACCGCCACGCTCTATAATGGCCACGTTGGGATCGCGCAGTCGTCTGAAGATGCTGTTATGGCAGATACGCAAGGTTCGCCTTAATCTTCATCATTCTCTGCCTGTGTTGTCTTCATATAGCGTTGTCATGTCGTGACATTGATTTCATTGCATCGCATTGCAACTGCGATCTATTTTTAAGTACGAACAGCGTCCGCCCTTGATTTCCCTTCTCTTTCCTTTTCTCACATCGGTGTACTGGGTGCTTATGTAGGTCTGCAGATCACACTGAAGGGACGGCAGTTCAAGAAAGCGCCGATATATGTGTGGTCATTTCCGCTGAGGAAGATGCTCCTGGTGACACCAGCAGCGAAATAACCTCAGCCAAGCATACCATGGGTTCTTCCTGGTTCTTCACCAGTCCGACATCCGGCTGATATATTTCTTTGTTTGTCCCCCCCTCTGGGTCTTGATTATTGTTTTTTTTTTCTTTTCAATTTATACTTCATTTTGTCCTCATCTTTGCTGTTCATTCCATTCCCTTTTCTGGTCACTCTTTTTCATTTTTTGATCCTCGCCATTACTGCTTGGGTCTACTCAGGGGGTGCAGGATTCGAGCCAATCACTAATGATGGCACCGTCGACGAAGACCAAGGTTCGTACGTCATTTCCTTTGTTGAGCATGTCCTCACTTCTCCGCGGTCGCGCTGACCTCATCGTCCCCATACGTTTGTTAAATTAATACCTTGTTCGCTTATCCAGCACTGGCAGAGGAAGCACGTTCCGAAAAATGGGCAAGGACCATTTTCTCTCTTCATTTGACTGTGTTGTATATCCTGACTCTTATTTTCTGTTTCTTTTCCCCATTTGTTGTTCCGGAATCGGATATAGGAATCTTCAAGTGCAACGTTCCATCAAACTGCTGGCGTGTTTGATGGCCCATCGTCGTCAGAGGTGCGTCTTGATCTATACGATCATTGAGGCTGCAAGGCCTATTTAGGCCTATCTATGCTGACGTCGGGGGTGGCGTGGCATGCCAGGTCCCGAAGAAGGAATCGGAAGATTCTCAAACTAGCTTTCCGTGTTATGATTCGCCATTCTCGACCTACCCTCTACTTCTATCCCAATTACGTGCAGCGCCTCTTGATGCCGATTCCTGTCAAGATCCTCGGCGAACTGCCAGTCATTCATCCAGATCATCATCACGAGCCAGTGCCAGCTATGCACTTAATTTATCATCACCCTCATCACGCGCTTCGCTTATCTACTGTGCACCATCATTATCTCATTCATGTTCGACTGTTTTTGTTCCAGATCTCAAGCCTTTGAAGCTTGCAAGCTTGCAGCGCGCCCTTGGACAACTCAATGCTAGCGACCCAGGTCTTCGGGTATGTCAGTATGAAGTGCCTGGTGGGGGTGTTTGTCGCGACAAAGGGTGTAACGATCTGCATCTGAGCCGACTCGTGAGCGAGCCGAGTGGTACGTATTCTTTATGTCTTGTATTTTAGGCTGACTGATGGATTATTCGTTTTCGACGCGTCTTGTATTCACTCATCACAACTAGACGCAGATGTAGCAGCGTACGTGCACGGAATATTGCCACAACCATGGCGTAGTCGGTGCGACGTACGAGCTATCGAAATAGCCCTTGAACGGGTTCGGCTCGGTAGCGGCGCCAGAAACATTGAGGAGTGCGTCACCAGCGCTTTATCTGGACTTGGCATCCCGGTCGTTCCATGAACAATGTCGTGACACGTTCCAGCCATCAGTATGTGAGCGACAATGCGGGCCGGCCTCGATGATGATGAAGACCGGGACACTTAAAGAGACCATTGTCCAGATCTTCGAATGTCAAAATGATACAGGGCAAAGGACAAGAGCGCCTAGCGCCACAGGAGCATGGGCTTCCTGACTTGCATTGGATATAAAATGGATTGTATTCAAGATTGTATTCAAGTTTATATTATTATATTAAGAGCCGTCCATGTCGTTATTTGATTGGTTGATGCGGAGAGTGAAATTTGTGACACGAGGTTTTTTGCCACGAGGTAATCATTTCTATAAAAGGGAATGTATTTCCAAATGGAACGATAAATAATTACGAAAGCGGGTATCGTGGGAGCGATAGCTGCGGAAGCATAGCTGAAAGTGGTCGGCGGGGATTACCGCGGTGTGCCTGGCGGGCATCTGATACTCCGATTATGACCAAACAAATGACCACAAGGACAGTCTTTTTTTGATCGTCCAGACTGAGACAACACACGCCCCGTTGACAACTCCCTCCCTTTTCCACCTCCTTCCAACTTCAGCGATTCCTTTTAAGGACGCCGTCCGCACTGACACTAACATCCTCCTCAAAGTCGCGTTCAACGTTTACACTTTATTTCAACGCGTCCTCTTCATCGTCGTCCAGGGTGAACAACCCATATGGCCTATCGCCGTCAACCTACTTCTACAACAACTAACTCTCCATCTTATCCGTATTCCAACGCCGCGGCTCATCACAGCCAACAACCTTCCCTTTCTGGTCAGAGTATTCAAGACGACCCCGCCGCATCCTCTCCAACAATGCGTAAGCGCCAACGCACGGACCTCAATTTGGTAAATCCAGTCGTTGCTGATCCTCAACAACCTCCACCTGGTAATCAACAACCTCACCAACATCTCCCTCAACCTGTACAACAAACAGGCGTACCAGAAGATGGCTTTATTCATGATCAGGATGCCGCAGAGAGTGGTGGAGACGACGATGATGAGGAGGAGAAACCAAAGTCGGACAAGAAGGCAGGAAGGCGAAAGATTAAGATCGAATTTATTCAAGATAAATCGAGACGTCACATAACATTCTCCAAAAGGAAAGCTGGTACGCGATCGACTTCCTTTGCTTTCTGTGTACTTTTTATCCTCAACAAACAAACTTTCGCAGGCATCATGAAAAAGGTTTATTTCATCAATATATACTCACCCCCCGCTTATCTAACCGAATCTCTCTTAGGCGTATGAGCTCTCTACACTCACAGGCACTCAGGTCCTTTTACTTGTCGTGTCAGAAACCGGTCTCGTTTACACCTTTACAACCTCAAAGCTACAACCCCTCGTCACTCAACCAGAGGGCAAGAATCTTATTCAAGCTTGTCTAAATGCCCCTCATGGTTCGCTTCCTTCCGCAATGCCAGTCGGTGCACCTATAGGTCGTGCGTCTGGGCCAATGTCTTTGCCCGGTCCTGGAAGTACTAATCTTCCAGGAGGGCTTGCTATTCCAGGTGGTCCTGTTGGTGGCCCACAAAGCGCCACGAAGGAGGACGGTGACGATGATGGTGACGAGGAGGCAGCTCGCGGTAATCGCGCAGCCGCAGCCGGAGACAAGCGTCGTCGGCGTCCCTCCACAACTGGCTCAGGGCCAGGTCGTGCCGGGCCAGGATCGCCGCAGACCCCAAATAGTACTATCCCTCCGCCCCTTTCTATTCCAGCTGCCTCTCAGCACCAGCAGCCTCAAGCACCGCCCCCGCCACAAATATCTCTGGGCTCTCCAACGAGTCCCCAGCAGCAACATTCTCAAGTGCCTCAGTCGCCGCAATACGGAACGTCGCCAACCGGAGCATACGGCACTCATGCTCAACATCATGGTCATCATGCACCTGGTGGCGGTCACGCTGGAAGCCCGACAGACCCTGGGATGTACGGCGGCCATATGGGCTTGCCCCCTCCAGGTGCTTATTCATACCCTGGTCCTGGTGGGCCCGGCGGCCAGGGCGGTCAACCGTTGGGTGGTCTAGCGGCTGCTGCCGCGCAGCACTCACATTGGGCACCGCCCCCGCCAGTTAGTCAGGGAGGTCATTATGGCCGAAGATGAAGATACGAATAATGACGCGTGCTTGCATGATAAGCTTTCTTGTCCGTCCAAACTGGGTTGTTTTATGCTTTTCTCACTTCTCCGCATGCTTCCAATTCTTCGTTCTCAGCTTCTGTGCTGTTAGTTACTCACAGCTATTTCGGCTGAAATTGTACAAATAATTGATGAATCTGCCTGGCTCATTTCCCACTGTTTCCCCCTGACTTGGTCTTTTTTTTTTCATTATTTGTTTCCCAATCCTCATTCAGTATTTTGGATGTTATCATGTGGTTGGCGTCAAAAGTGCTCGTACTCGTTTCAGTCTATACACGACTCGCATCTGTGCTATTACAAGTTCTCATTCAACAAAGGAAGTGTTTTTCCATGTCGCTGGCGATACAATTAGAAAAAAAAAACCCGCGGCTTAGTTTGCGAAACGGGTGCGGCATGTACATTTCTGTCCATGCTCAATGTCGCACGCGATCATTTCTTGTCCTTTCCTTTCTGGCTTCGATCGACTCTGGACGAAGCGGTTTTTGGACGAGTCGTCGCGGAGTCCATTATTTTTTCAGAAATGGAAGTGGTTGATTGACACGAATGTTCCGAGGTCGCGATGGTACTAGGTCCTCCGTGGACGGGACTCGAACGTTATCATTCCGTGCAAGTCGAGGCAGGTTTCAACTTCTTTGAAATGGAACTTCGGTTGCGATTGACATGATCAACGTTGCGAAGTCGCCGACTCGCGAATGATCTGACGGACACGAACGTTCTTCTTAATGTTACTTCCACCTGCTGGCGACGTCAACGGGGGCATACCCACTCCCACAGCGGTAAGTCACTAATTTGCATTTGCATTTCTTACTACGTCAGGAGAGCCAACCTGGGATATTCCACAAGAGTTCATGTCTCGCGCTCGATTGGGCTCAATACCAATTGACTTACACGCACGCATCCGATCCCTGCAACGCATCGACCTCCCCTCACAAGTCAACTTCCACACACGTTCTTCGAGTTCCAACCTTCAACAGGGGGGGACGTTCGATTGTCACAACCAACTAAGATTAAGAACAATCTCAAAACGTGCCTTGGTGCCCGTGTCTTTCGGTCAAGCCGGCTATCAAGTCGGACGTCGCTCCACCTTCAGGCGCAGCGTGCTTCTGGAAAAATCACATGCTATGACTCCCTTATCTTGTCGTAAACCTTTTTTTGACTTTGATTTTACGTAGGAGCGACGCGGGGAAGGCCTTTCAAGTTGCCCGAGAATGAACCTATCACATCCCCGGTTACGTACGATCCTTGCAATGGGAAGTTACAATGCCTGCCCTCCGAGTCAACCCGAAAAGCCGAAAGTGATGGTACGAGGCAACGCCACTGGAGCGCTCAGGATAACAACATCATGATTCATCAACTAAGACTGCGCTAGCATGACAGCCACGTAAAAACAAAAGATTATACATACAACAAGCAATAAATAGCGTTAATAAAATTATGCAAGATGTGTCACCAGTAACGGTGCCGAGATGCTAGCCTAAGCCTAGAAATGGTATGGTATAGGACTGCGTCGAGAACATGCGTGATTAATAAGAATACAACCTTGCGTCCGGAGGTAGAGGGGGAGTGCGGGGATGATGGAGCGGAAATGACGAGTCGGTGAGTAACCCATCACGTATGCAGGCGCAACAAGGCTGACGAACAAGGTTTTTCCCCCCTTGGCCAAGCCGAGGACAACGAAAGAGAAACGCCACCAGGGAAATCACGATACCTCTTCCCACAAAAAGAAAAACAATATCCCCCCAAAATGCAGCAGGAATGGAAGCCTCAGTCAGCACTCCAATCTTCCTTCGCGAGGTGGCGATATAATGAAAAATGCCAGGGACCAGGCCTAACGGCACGGAACCTTGAAGGACCCGCATTAGGAAAATGGGTCCAACACTGAAACGAGGGCGCTTCGCCACAGCCAGCCTCATGGTCCTTGATCGCACATGTGACTGAATAAAGATCCGGGTGTCAAACGCTTGCATCCAAGCGCTTGTCCTGTGCAGATCATGATCATCGTCTCGTGTCATGCTGTAGGCTTCCATGCGACGAAGACTCGTAATGAGCGACTCAGACGCATAGCGGGGTGCGGACCGGCCATGGCGCAAGGCGTTCGATCACCACCACCATCCTCAAGCTTCCGATACGCCTCCCATTTCTCGCACGCTGTATCAAACGAGCGCTTTTCCTGGGGCGTCGGCCCCGGGATCATACTCCAATTGAACCGGTCCTCGAGCACAGATCCGAGACTCATGTGCTCCCTCATGTCCCTGCAACAACAGAAGTTGATTAGATTCATGTTCGAGATCAGAATGGTTGGTTCAGATGATCAGAAGAAGAAGTAGAAGAAGAAGTGTGGCACAGGCATCGAAACACACCATCCCATCCTTAGCACTTTTCCCCGTTTAGAAACCATGCCCCTATTCAGAGCACAGCACAAAGACTAAACGTTCTAAACGCGTACCATCCAGCTGTGCCACCACGAAGCTAGCAAAAAAAGGCGATTCCACGCCACCCCCAAGGTCACACCATCAAGAATCCGAGAAGTGATGAGCGTCATAGGCACCGAAGAAAAAACTCCGCAAAGCCAAAAAAAAAAACTAAGAAAGAGTACTCACAGCTCGAACCTCAACAGCAATTCATCAAACTGCGACCTCGTCAACCCCATGATCTTGGCATATATCCCGTCCTTCCTCCCCCCTCGCGTTTGAAAATCGGATACCCACTCCCACATCGCTTCTGCGCATGCCACGATCTCTTTCACGCGCAACGCTAGATGGAGGTTCAAATACTTCAAGTCAACTTCCAACGCAGGGTTCGGCAGAGCCCGCGTTTGCGTCTGTCTTTGAATAGAGATCGCGCGATCGAGCGAAGCGTAAGGTGATGCTCCACTGCTCAGGCCATCCAGCGAGATGATCGTATTCCTGTCCGCGCTCGAATTCCCACCGGCGCCCAAATTCGACTTCATATTCCGGTCATGGCCAGCGGACATCGGGCTGGATGAACCCACACCCGATATCGATAACAGTGCGCCGCCCTCAGGTTCCCTCAGAGGTGGGAAACGCAGCAGAATCGGCGGGTGCGTGCGAACGTCTACACGTGTCCCAGTTAGCTCGAACCCTGACATCGCTTATAGTACGTCTCGGAGAAATAGAAATGAATCATAAGGAAAGGCTTTAAGCGTGATGAAAGTTTTGTCCACCTGTTGCTGTTTCCTCCACCCACCCAACAGCAGGACGTTTCATCCACCCAACTTCAGGTGAGATGTTTCCCTCCAAGATGAACGCCCCAGAATGTTCATCCATGAAACATCTGCCACGACTTCGGCACATATGCATACACCCTGTTTCAATATATTTCATCCACCCACGAGCCGCGGCACACCCTCCACCCAAAATGAAAAGCAACAAAATGATAGAATAAACGACTCACCCTTGAACCACAACCCCACCTGATTGGCCAACAAACTCAACGGAGAAAGGTTAATAAACCGTTGTGCGTGCATCTCGTTGTAGATCGCTTCGAGGACGGTATGGTCGCGGGGATCTGGCGGAATGACGAGGGGGAGCTTCAACTCCAGGTTGTTGGTGCCCACGCTCCTATCCACGTGAAGCACCCCACTGCCACTCCCGCTTCCATTTTCACTCTCGTCCTCCAACATCCTCGGACTCGTACCAGGACTCCCAACACCAAAACTCAAACTCCCACTCCTCCCCCCGAACCCCAACCCCACACTCACCCGACTCCCTAGCGAGCCCATACTCATACTCATCCTCCCTTTCTCCTTCTCCCGAGTCCCGCTCTGACTCTCCCTCCCACTTGGGATCTGACTCGAACTCTCCCCAACCAACGACACCTTACTCCTATTCTGCGGCAACACAAAAAAGGGCGTAGCAGTAGGCTCCATCAACACAGCTTGAGCAGCTTTATTCTTCTTCTGCGACACCGGCGGTGATTTCGGGGGCGAACCCGATCCAGGCAGCACGAAAAAGGGAGTGAGGGTAGGTTCATTCAACACCGCTTGCGCTGCCTTGTTGAACTTCTGCGACGGACGAGGACGTGGGTTGATAGGCGTAGGTGTGCTGCTTTTGGAGGAAGAGAGGAATGGTTGGGAAGAGGAGGGCGAGGGCGATGTGGTTGCTGATGGGCGTCTGAGGGTCTCAAGTGATGTATTGGAGGAGGGTGGTTGGCGCAGGGAGAGAGAACGATGGATGAGTGTGCTGCTCGAGCTCACCTTCAGCGGGGAATCAGTAGGGAGGGAGATGGAGATGGTGGGGTGTTTGGAAGGGGAGTTCGATCGGTGGGCGTCGATGGTGATGGAGGGAAAGGAGTCAGGCGTGGTGGCTGCAGCACTAGTAGAATTGGCCGAGTCGGATGAGCTGCTCGTGGAACCGTCTGCACTACTCCTCCCCGACTCGGTGCCTGAGGTAACGTCAGGGCTTAGACTGGAGCCGCTATTGGACATGGACATATTGCTTCCTTTGCTCCTCAGAGTCCCCACTTCGCTGCCATCGCCATCTGAGCGGCCTGGGAAGCTCAAGTCTTCTTCTACGACCTCGAATGCAGCACCTGGCTTCATCACGCGGGTGATTTCTTCAAAGAGGTCATCCCACTATTTGATGTTAGCATAGTACGACGGAGTGTGAGGATACGCACCTTGTCCTCGGGTACGCCCCTCGCGATGCGCTTGACATGCACGAAATCGAACGATTCGTTAGCGAATGGAAGTCCTTCGAGGCTGTGCGAGTTGAGCGGTCCAAGGACTGGGGTAGGTAAAGACTCACAAGTTAGCTTGAACCCAGTTCACTCTCCTTGCGAGATCCTTGTCTTTCGAAACACGCACAAGATCTGGTTGGAGAGATACGATGTCGAGGCCTGCAGGTGGTTAGCCCTCCTCCCCAAGTAGTGGCGAACGGTGCACCCACCAATGACTTCGCATCCCTTCCAGTACTTGGCAGCCTCAATGACCCACACACCATTCCCGCACCCAACATCCAATATTTTCTTCAGCGGTCCCTGGGCGGGTGGATCGTTCCAGGATGACGGAAAGGCATGCCAGGTTAATGATCCCCCACCCATCTGACGGGTTAGTAAGGTGTCGACTCCGTCCCTGGATAGACAGGCATGAGTCAGCGGGTCGAGGAGCGACACAGCCACTCACATATCCACCACCCGCCGTTCATAACTCCGGGGGTAAGGCACTTCCTGACGCCTGAAACGGTGGTGCAGGCGATAGGAGGCATCGATGCCGCCATGGACGTTGAGTACGAGGGCAGCATCAGACGGCGAGTCGTTGTGATGATCGTCTTCGGCGAGTGGGAAGCGGAGTGAGACGGGGGATATGGGTATGGGCTGTGTATGTGAGTTCAGATGAGTGATCAGGGGAGTGGGCAGTGAACGTACCCTCTTGCCATTGCCAGTAGAAGGGGATCGAGAGAGGAGTGCACCTGGGCCAGCACCTGTAAAGGGTACACCAGCTGGGCCGCGCAGTATCAAGTTGGAGTTTGTTTGAGGAGGAGAGGGTGGACTGTGGAGAGATCTGGAAGAGAAAGAGAATTTGGAAGTGGGGTGTGAGCGGGCACTCCATGGGGAGAGACCACCTGGGGCAGGATACATATGATCACGTTGAAAGTGAACGTGGCGAGGTGAAGATGGCTGCCAGATTGAATCCTTTGGGAGCGGGGTATCTAGGATGAGCGGGGATACTGAGAGGGACGGATGCTGTGTCGGGGATGACGAAAAGGGCGTAAGTGGACTCAATGGATCCGGTGAACTCGGAATAGAAATTGGTAGTGGAGGAAGAGGGGAAGTTGGAGGAGGGAATCGAGGAGGCGCTCGTCGATGAATAAACTGTGAAATCTTCAGTGACCTAGTAACAAAGCGATAGGCTGCTGCGGTCTCACTGGTATAAATTCCTTCTTCAATCTGTCAGGATTTCTTGGTGGTCTCGGTGGTGGTTCATAAGTCGGAGTAACGGAATACGGAAAGAGGTCAATAATGTCCGATAGACTGTCAGTACTAGCTTCAGGTGAATACATCGATGTCGTTGTCGCCGTCGTGGTCGTCGTCGTCGTAGAAGGAGAACGTTTGAGGTATACAGGGAATTGAGCCAACATTTTGGTTTAGCAATTAGATGGAATATGCTGCTACTTTATGATATAGCCCCGTTGGTGCATAGCCGACATTGGGCAACCAACGGTAACCGCTAATCGACGTCATATTATTTCTTTATCAGCCAATGAGATATCCCGTCATCAACTGCGCCATCAGCCTGCCGCATCTGCCTCCGTAACCTCACACGACCATACATCCTCCAAATTTCAACTATAATATCATGATTTAGCGGACAACCGTCACTCCGCACACGTTCGACAAGGTTCGACAGGGTTCGACCCCAAGAAACGGATACCTAGTACAATGAAGTTGAATGTCCCCCCTCGTCGACTCATCAACTCCTCATTTAGCACTGCCAGCTAAATTTTCCAATCAGGGACTCCCAGATCCGCCTGCCAAGGAACACCATCTTAACAGCACAACTTCGCATCATGGCTTTCGCACCCACAAATCGAGCAAACATGAACCCGTTCGTGATCCTTTGCGCATCTTCCAATATTGAACGAAATACAAACCACTTCCGAAGTCGATTTCAGAACCAGTGTCCCGTCCCACTCGCACACCACCGCATCGCCGTGGACAGTATACGCATTCGTGCATCCGCTAGCTTTGTGTCCTGTCCGTCCACAGATAAGGCAAAGGCACCCGTTCCCATCAGACTTGCTGTATGGATGGAACCTGTGGCCATGGGAGTGCCCAGACTTGGCGGCTTCTTCTACAGCAGCTGCCCTCTCTTCTACAGCTTCGCGAACTTCCAAATTCATCATATCCATATCCATCGCGTGCCAGCGACGTAAATAAGCATCCTGTGCGAGGAAAGATTCCGTGTTGAAGAATATACGTCTCGTTTCCATGTCAAATGCGAGGACCGTTCGGTATCTTTCCATCATGTGCGACAAGCAGAAGCTTCTGTGTTGCTTGAACCGCTCTACGATGGCGGGTTCTGCGACTAGAGACATGAGTTTAATGAAATTGAAAGACGCCTGGTGGAACTCGACCAAAGAGAGCGTGTCTTCTGGCGGAAAACTGGAAATGTCATCCCCCGCATGGATTCTCTCCATAGAATCAAACGTCAAGAGGATGAGCGGAACATGGGTTTTCGACTTGGCGAGGTTAATGACGGCGCGAGGAATATCGTGATAGTCCTCTAGTGATACGAGTTTGGTGTTTTCATCACGAAAGACGAGGTCTGCATCTGCAGTGGAGTGTGGGGTAGAACGCGAAGTTGAAGACTCGTCGGCCTCAACATCCGCTGCAAGCTTCGCACGTATCACATCTCGTTCGGACGGGGGCAGAGAAGTAAAAAGGCGGAGAAACTCTATATTAGCTTCGACCCGGGAGGGCGGAACCCCAGACCTGGCCATTAAAATACGAGCGGCGTGATAGGGGATTTCATCTTCATCACCAGACGAGTCTGAGTCTGAGTCCGAGTCTGGGTCCTCGATATCTCCATCGCCAGCGTTCCGCCCAGCTGCAACATGCAAGCTGTTCACGTCGGCGCGGTTCACGTTGACGCGTCTTGAAGCTTCTGCTATGGCGTTTACCATATAATGAGTCTCCTCAGTCGTCATGTAACCTCGGTCGGCGATGACATCGGGGTCAAAGCTGGTGGTGTGCGCAGAGCCTTGCGGAACAACTGAATCAGACGCGTTGGACATGGTTATCGAGCGAAGGACTGGATATATGCGTTGGGGATGGCGCGTCGATAGGGGAACAACTTCGTTTGCTTAGTAAGCACGCAAAGTGAAATTCATCGGATTCGTTGTTTCAACTTGGTTACTGGCATCATCTGCTGTCGTCTCCACAACTTGTCATACCTCAGACTGTCTTCAAAAGTTGATCTCTCGACTCAAGATCCATAGGGCTCCACCCATGATCTTTCATGTACAGATAAGTTGGATGATAAGTCATCAAACTTATTTGTCGATGATGTTTAGCGGAGCTGGTCGCTTGAATCTCTCCAGTGGATGGTGCTGTCGTCGGGAGTCGACCTCGAGGTTCTACCGTTACACAGGGCATTGATAGATCAGTTTGGGGATTTTAGTGGTTGACGTCGTCAAACTTATCTGTCAATGATCCAACAAAATAGCCGAGCTGGTTGTCTACATTTTACTTCCGGAAGCTGGCCTCGAGGTCCCAGAGCGCTACGAGTATAGTCGTGATGTTCCATGGGTCATTGACAGGTAAGTTGGACCGTGACGATTAGTATCTCCCAACCCATCTGTAGCCAGTTGGTTGCCTGCATTCCTCCAATATATTCGAAAGCTGACCTCGAGACTCCAGGGCGCTATGAATCCAGCTATTATTTTCCCTAGGTCATCGGCAGATGAGTTTGCGTTGTGCGAGAGCGCGCACCCTCAGACTTATCTGTCATTGACCCTGCAAGAGGAGGCAATAGCCAGGCTGTTTTATTCAACCCGTATGATACATATTGTACTACAGCCTACCACAACGTGCGTCCACAGGCAATAATCGCCTTGCCGATCATTTATCTTGTGACAGAACTTTATAAACACGTGTCCTATCATCTCTTCAACGAGCCATAGATGATCGATAACACCCAGTCGCCTGGACATTGGAGCAATCACCACAACGCCTCACAACGCTGCCATTATAATTCAATGTGTATAGCTTGCTTTGAATTTAGGTGAGAAAAGTTAGAAGATACCTCTAAGATCCGATGCTCATAACATCAATGTTCTCCTCTGATTGTCGTCTTCCTGACAAAGAGTAATCCTTACATCCTCAGGCCTCGTGCCCGATCAATTGAAAATGTGTACACACTTATCAATATCTCCCCTCCCGTTTTATCTCCGAATATACCCCTCCTTCCCCTCAACTTGGTCAACCTCCTTGCTGGCAGGTTCTCACCTTGCCAACAACCCAACATTGAACGTTCGGAATGTTCAACGCTCATCCCTAAACACAACCATCTTCTCACCAAGAAGTTTGAGCAGCTGCGCCTGCTCACTCGTCCAGCGCGGCCCGCTTCATCGTCGTCCGAAGACCCAGCTCTCGGAACTATGGGTCGGATCAAGTCAGAATTGCACCCGCATCGCAGGTTTTGCACGTAGTAGTAACACCGCTCGCGTAGCGACCAGCCCCCCCGCATCGGCAGCCAACAAATAAATAAGCACCGAATTAGCTAAAGGCTTCAAGTCGGCAGCATTACTAAACCGATCATGCTTTCTACGTATACAATCGACTTCATCCCATTTCATTTAGGCGTTGCGGTTCCGTTCCGCTGGTCCACCTAATACATACAGGTGAGTTTACCTTGATTGCCTTGGCAACTCACTACTCCATTCCCCATCGACTCACATCACGGCCATCACTAGCTGGTGCGATGCACGTTTAAGAATCTCAGGCTTCGATTTCAAACACTCCTCGAAGTTGGACTGTGATTCCCATTCTTCACAATCTGAACCATGAGAATTTGGAAACTTGAACGAGTAAGCGGACTCTTGCTGTTTTTTTGAACCCGGCCTCATATTGCTCATTAAGAATGCCTGTAAATTCAAGGAAGGCGTGCAAGGTAAAGTTGGCAATGCCGGTCTCTAGTACTACACACAGCGGATGTGTCTTCGGGTGTAGCGAGTGACGCCGAATGGTCCCAGACAGACCCGAACGCAGAAATTCGAGTTCTCAGACTTTCTGCCGTGTGGTCCTCAAAAAGCCCCTATGTTCTCTCCATGATGGCTTCGATGGTAGCAAGTCCGTTACTGAACGCCTCCTCCATACGACAAAATCTATGCGTCCGCATCTTATATCCCTTTCTCTATCATGGCGAGCAATTGTGAATCACGGGCGAGAAACCTCTTCCGTATTTGCTGCATCTGTCCCACAATTATCGTCCGTTTGTTCTTCGGACCTGTGTCTGGCGTGTATGTCAACTAGCGACCATGTATTGTTCGCGCAGTTGATCTCGGGGCGCATCATCAATTGTAAGCGGGCCCACACGAGAGTGCTTTAACTAATTACTGCACTCAATATTCAGCCAAGGACGAATCTTTGGGTTGTCCGCCAGATGATGTTCAGGTGCATGCCTCAGGGGTTAGACTGTGCATGAACGAGTTCGTTGCTTCCGCATAAGGACGTTCTAGAAACGCCTGCCCACGACACGGCAATTGGGCATCGCACAGCGGGAAAACCCTACCTGAAGATCTGCGAATACCGCAGGCTGACTCACAGTTCACCATGGCAGCTTTTGAGTTGGATAAATGTGTTCATTTGAAGCTAAGGCATCATTGTTGATGGTTCCACTATCCATCGATCGTTCCCCCATCGGTGACGCAGTTTGGCCATGTCATCAGGATTGACCAGATTCTGTTGGTCATTGAGCAATTGGCTGATGAACGAATAAGTCTTGCCTATCATATTTTTCAGCTGTTCTCCCTGAACTGACCGTGTTGTTAGCGAGACTATGTTAGTGGGTTGCGACGGCACCCTTCATGCACACCTGGAGATCACATTAAACACAGCGACTCCCCACTATTCTTGCGCTCCGTTCTCGCACTCTCTGTTGATGTCATTGCTTCACGTTATACTACTTGTTTGTGATCTGTTGCCCTCGGTAACAGAGGTAGCCATCGGGCCCTACTATTCAAATTTCCTTTCCTTGCCACGCAAGTATTTTGCACGTTCGTGATCATCTGTGTCAATGATCATGATGTTATTCTCTGGTCCATTAGGATCTAGCGTGTATTGCTCGTTGAATTGGGACAAGTTAAAAGCCACCTCTGAGATCTGATGCTCATTATAATGTTCTCCTCTGATTGTCGTCTTCCTGACGAAGAGCAATCCTTACATCCGCATGCTCGATCAAGTCAAAGTCAAAATGTATACACGCTGATGTGCTCGATCGAAATAGTAAACCTACTCGCTCATCTCCTCATCTTCGTCTTTACCCTCATCGCCTGCCCGTTCTATCTCCGTACATCCACTCTCAACTTGGACAACCTCCCCGCTGGCAGCATCCCACCTTGCCAACAACCCAACCCTAAACACCACCATCTTCTCACCAAGAAGTTTGAGCAGCTGCGCCTGCTCGCCCGTCAAAGCCTTCCCCTTATCACACACCCTATGAGGATTTTCAAGCGTAGGTACACCCCGCTTCATCGACGTCGTTAGACCCAGCTTCCGGAGCTGTGGGTCCTCATTATGGGGGAACGGTTCAGGGGGGTCAGAATGCACCCGCATCACAGGTCCCGCAGGTAATATCACCGCCCTCGTAGCTTTGTTCCCCGTTCGCGCGTAATCCGCTTGTTTGAAATCGTCGAACCACTCTATCACTTCTTGAGGTTCCGAGTCTGTAAAAAACAACCCTACCTGGCCTTTTATTTGCTGAGATGTTTTGTTAGAGTGGGGTGTGCGTTGAGATGGGGGCTTACTTGGGCGAGTTTGTGGAGGCCCATTCGGTGCTCTTCTTCTGCTGTTGCGCCTAGAGCTTTGGCCATTACTGCTCCTCGACCGAAGAATATCCGTGCTGTGCTGCGGGGTCATGGGTCAGTGCTGTGGATGGGATGGTAAATGAAGCGAGACGTACTCTTTCCATAGGTTTCGTACGGTTTTTAGATGGGAGTTGCGCATCGCGCCGACTTCGAATAGCCAGCAGTATTTCCATTTTTCAGCATTTTGTTGTACCTTGGGAAGAAGGAACGATTAGCACTCGCATAGCAGGGACCAGGCAGTAGAAAAAGTCTTGCAATCATTCCGATCCTGGTTTGCCTCCGGAGAAGTGCATCCAGAGGGGAAAAACAAATTCTACAAAAACTAACCTCAGTCAAGAGAGCATTTTTATGCTCCCTCGTCTTTTTCGATACTTTTGCGAGGGTGACTATCCATACAGAATACAACATCAACCTTCATCACGATCTATCATAGAGAACGAGACTTACCGAGTTTTGCGCGTTTTGACTTGGGCATGATATGTAGGAGGACAAGGTTTAGCAAATGAAATCAAAAGTCCGCTACACCAAATTATCTTTTTATCTCGATCTTCCTCGATGGACGCGGTTTCTCCAAGCGAGCTCTCTGCCCTTCGCGCTGCGCTGCTCAATACGAGCGGTACGGTGCCCTTGCACGATCGTTTCAGAGCGCTCTTTACATTGAAAAGTTTCAAGAATGATGAGGCAGTCAAGATCATCTCTGAAGGTACGTGAATTTCGTCCATTCTTCCGTTCGTATGATCCTTTTCTTTCGATCCTAACATCAACCATCATATCTTTTCATCTATGCGATTCTCTTTCAAGACAAGCGTGCGCTGACGCATGATCCATCTACCAGGCTTCGCCGATCACTCAGCACTGCTCAAGCACGAGCTTGCATACTGCTTAGGACAGATGAAGCTCGTCTCAGCTCTCCCAGTCCTTCAATCAGTGCTGGAGAATCTAGACGAGGATCCTATGGTCCGACACGAGGTGAGCGTCTCCATCGTCCCGCTTCGCACAGTCCCGCTTTTGTACGTTCCAGTGTATTATGATGCTAACTAGCATTCGAGATAGGCAGCAGAAGCAATGGGCGCAATCTCATCACCTGATTTCAAGGCAGTCCTCACGAAGTACCTCACAGATCCTGACAGGAGTGTGCGAGAGACATGCGAGATCGCGCTCGCTAAAATTGAATGGGATAATTCTGAAGAGGGACGCCAACATCTTGCGTCGAAAGAATCGTCAGATCAGACTCCGTATGTAGCTTTCATTTCATTTTTAGAGATCTCAATCTGCCTATTCCACTACTCGAACCACTTTTGGTCCCGCAATCAACACAAACTCACATCGTGTTTGCAGGACGTACACATCCATCGACCCCGCTCCTCCCTCCTCCAAACTTCTCTCTGGCCAACCAAAACCAGATGACTTGTCAGAGTCTGCAATCGCCTCTCTCCAAGCCACGCTTTTGGATACTTCCGTTCCCCTTTTCCAGCGCTATCGGGCTATGTTTGCACTCCGCAACATTGGAACGCCAGCGGCTGTCGATGCACTAGCATCAGGGTTCTCCGATGACAGCGCACTATTCAAGTCCGCTTCTTTTCAGTTTTTGACTTCGTCACGACGCTGAACCCATCCGCTGCAGACACGAAATCGCCTTCGTTTTCGGCCAACTCTTGAGCGCACACTCTGTACCCTCGTTGCTTAATGTCCTGCAGGACGGATCTGAGTCTGACATGGTGCGACATGAGGCTGCAGAGGCGCTCGGAGGTATCGCCACGCCTGAGGTGCTACCCCATCTTAAAGAATGGATGACGCGTGAAGATTCTCCGCGCGTTGTGCGAGAAAGCTGTCAGGTCGCTATTGACATGTGGGAGGTACGTTATTTCTTCATTCCTATATACTTTTCGGGGTATATTTCTGACGATTGGTAGTATGAAAACTCGGGGCAATTCCAATATGCGAATGGACTGGAGAGCGTCAGGGTAGAGGCCACTCCTGCCTGATTTATGTTGTCGTTGATAGAGAAAGGAAAGTAAGGTTGTATTGCGTGCTGTATTCATACCTGGCGCGTACTAATTTAGACGCCGTTCATTTCTTTGTGCTCATTTTCGATAAGTTTGAATTTGAACATTCCTTCGTTAAATACCCTGAACATCCATCGAACATCGTGCGTATCCACTTCACAAACATTTGTGACATTGATAATCGATGCAGCTCATACTATGAATACAACAGAATGAATACATGTACACTAGAGGCGGTGATTCTCGTATTCTCTATTCATATTCAAACACCAACGCGCGAACCTCAATGGACTGCCTACCCGGCGCGTCCTTGGGACTGGTCACGTCAAGGAACGCTGAATGAGGCGTGAGGCGCGCCTTATCCTCGTCCGAATCGTAGCACTTGATGAGTGTAACCTCATCAGGGGTCTGGTCCGCGAGGAAGTACCAGCGCTGCGTTGGATTATAACGCACGCTGAACGTCGAGCCCTCGCGGTCCGGATAGATATGCCTAGTGGAGACCAAGTCCTGAGGATCAAGCGTACGGTAATCTGCGACAGCAAGTGGTTTGTGCGCGACGGGATTGGCAATGGGCCTATATGGATGGATTGGGTTACTTAATCGTGGGGTGAGAGATGTGTTTGACTCACCTCCAGACATTAATTATGCGAACACGACCTTTGAGCAAGCGTTCAGCATCGTCGCCGAGATGATGATGCACACGAGCGATGCCAGCGGCGTAGGTTTGGTCGACGTGGACACGTTCCTAAAGTTCTTGGTGAGTGGGATACCTCGGAGCACTCTGGATCATAACTCACCACAGGGCCAGGAGCATCCTTCGCTAGGATTACGCCGTCTACTGGGCTCCGCCTTCATTGCACTTAAGCCAAGGCGCTTTCAACAATCATTCACGAGCACTCACCTGATGGTATGATCAAATATAAACACCCTCTTCGCCCCCGTATGCTTCTTCAAAATGTCTTCCACCTCCGCATAGTATTTTGTCTGGATCGCTTCTTCATCGACAAAGTCCTTTTCTACGCTCTTGTGAGTAACGAACTGGAAGCCCGTCTTATCGAGTCCGATAGTGTCTTCCTTGCCGCGGATATCATGGATTACAACTTGTTGGACATCTGCGCCAACGTTTGACCTGGGAACTCCCACAGGGGGCTCCCCGATATAGTTGTATGGCAGCTCGTCGTTTATAGGCTTGTAGAAGTTGAGGGTAGTCTGGACATCGTGGGGAGCGAGAACTTCGACAGTCATGTTGATTGGATCTTCAGGAAGGTTGTATTGTGGTTGGCATTCGAGCTGCCCTACGTTTCATTTATACTCTCTATGTTCCGTGCGCGCGTAACTCTGAAGCTATTATAAAACAGTTTGTAAGATAAAGATGAGGTTGTTTCGACGTCTAGCGCAAGTCTGAATGCAAGTGGCGTGCTCTCAATTACGGAAATTGATCACATATGTCGGGGCTTTGTAAAGCTAGCGCTGCAATACGTTCTTACTCACTGAGCTTCGGGAATCGGGAAGGCCAATATTATCAATAATCCGTGTTACTAATCGGCAGTATTCCGAGGATTAGCGAAGATTAGTAAAATTGAATGGTGACCGAGTATCTGTTTGTCTTCTTTTGCCGGCAGGCTCAGCGAGATACTGGTCTAATTCGCGTCAAGATCAAATATCACTCTTGATATTTGATTTTGACGCGAATTTATCGAGCAAATCGCTTGGACAGAACAGCCCAACTACCTGAGCGTACCCTATCACACAAAAAAGCAGTATATTCGCTGACTATGATTGCTGCCAGATAATTAGCGGTATGCATGACGGCTTGCCTCAGGTGGTAGAAAGTGATTACGCTAACACACAGTAATACTTAGAACAACCTGCAGTGGTTGTTTGAGAGTCGCATTACAATAAAAAGTTTCAGCTTCAAGCATAGTACTAGTGTAGAGATAGCCAGCTTCTATTCTTCTCTTCGAATCCCAATCACCTTGGAGCACCACATAAATACCACGACGAAACCCCAAAAAGCATTCACATGTTCGTTCCCCTGTTTCTCCCTCCTCTCCTCTTTCCCCCCGAAGAAATAAGTGTTCATCACTCGGACGATTTCCCTTGCTACACACCACTGCCAGTTGCCACGTGGACACGCTCCTGGTCCTGGAAAGCAATTGAAGTCATGGCAGTTCCTGCGTCAGAATCTACCACGAGCTCAGCGTGATATTGCCGAATGCTAAGGATGAGGCGTGGTCCCAGCACGAACGTTTGCATGACTTCGATGATTGTGAGAACGCCAGAATAAATCCCACTTCCCACGGGAGACAAGTCCTATAGAAATGATGAGTGATGAGACGCAAATGACACAAATTGGCGCACCGCTATGGTTGGAGACAGGAAGCTAATTGTAATGAAAGAAGCAGCAGCATAGCTAGCACATGTGGGACTTCAGCAGAAGCATATAATCACTTGAACTGAATTAGGAGCTCACGCTGCAAAGTAAAACACGTGAGTTTTCATTAATACCGTGATACAGTTCTCGAAGGTCCATCCCGTCGATGTGCGTTGGAGTTCACGGAAGTGTATTACAAAAATTCTGATTGCAAGACACAGTGCGATGGACTCCCATATAGCGCCAAGAATATAACCCACAGCCGGCATAAGTGAGTTGTATCCTGTAGAAGTACACTGATAGGTGCCAGAGATGACGAGCTCCTCTAATATTCGTTCAATAAATCTGATGCGATTTGAGTAATTAGAGCTTACCCCATGACATTTCAGTGCTTTCCCACACGGCGAGCACTATGTTGAAAGCCGTGAATGGCAAGAAGCTGACAATGAGAAAGATGAGAATCTTTGTGGATCGATTATACATGGCATGTAGTCGAGCGATTACGATGACTGCATGATGTTTGAGTCAAGTCAATGTCACCGAGGTACTGCAACTGAGTAGCTCACCGCCCAGCATAGTACTGACGACGACAAACATCCAACATATTGCAAAATTGAGTATAGAACCTGAAAACCCCGCCTACTGATGAGCATTGGGGAGCTTGATACTTAAAATGGACTCACAGCTGTTGCAGTTAGTATGTGGAACCAACAAGCTTGTTGGGCTCACCCCTATGTCAGTTAATTGGGTGGGAATGGCTGGAGTGATGCACGATACTCACTAGATCTGCCAGCGAGATCGACGGGAGAGCTACCACGTGTCAGAGGAAACAAATGCAGTATAGAAGAGACACACTTAGTATGTTGATACTGATCGTAAGATACGGCTGATTAGCCCGGTGCCAATGTTAGCCTTGAAAACATACTTACGCAGAAAGTAATAATCCGACATAGCGCACCTACAACATTTTGAAGTCAGCACAACTCATCGATTGCGCTTATACAACGGACCACGTACACCGAGATATAGGAAAGTCATGAGGGACCATCGTTGCCTCTGCCCAGAATCAATTGTATTATCCGAATGTGTTTCTGATATAAGACTACTCACCCAGACCAGTTCAAGCTATGAAATCATTATTAATACTAGTGAGGCGGCTGCTGTGATGACATCGACCTACCTCTTGTTCGAATGTGAGTACTGGTGATACCATTAATATTGGGACATCAGTAATTCTCTCGATAAGGGACATCTTGCTCACCCCAATCGTATATCACCGAAATAGAGGCTATAACTGTAAAATCACGTCAAAGATAAAGTGAGCGATCACTAACACCATCCGACTTGCTCCCAACATACCTATAAAATAGCTTACAACACGACTCATTTCGATTGCCGGCCACCAACTGGGATCATTCGAGACTTGGGTCATGATTATAGGAATAGTGTATGACTGGCGAATGTGATAGACATGAAACGATGGCGTTCGTGCTAGATATACCACCATCCAGCGCTTTCACGGCAGTATTCTGTGGATGAATTCCTGGCGGCTCGCATAAAAAGATGTCGGTTATCATGGTGAATCTGCAAAGTACAAAGAACTGTCAGATGGGCGGTGTGTCTGAGCACCGCGATGTGGCATATTTCTGTGTAATGTCATGAGGCTCGAGAAGTTCTGCCCATCCTGCCTCGTAATCCTGTGTCAGATCAAAGATCATCAAAACAGCTTGAATGGATAATTCCTAGTATAGTTAGAGCAGTCTGCCAAATCGTAACGTGGCAAACGAGACGCGCTAAACCAACACTAGCCTGAACCCATTGTGCACCGGCAGTCAACGCCAACCATCCTTGCATCAATTCGCAATGCATTTGCACAAGCCAGGTGGTGGTCGCCTCTTATTGACGCAGTTCGTCTTCAGCACAACACATGCTGCAGTGGGGTTGCCTTGGTCAGGCTGCGATCGTGGGACTTGTTGGCCCAGGCCCCAAAGCCAGCGGAGACACATGGCTGAATGATTAATTTTAGATTAACAGCAGTACAACAGTCACAGGACGCACTGCCAGTCTTGTTAACAGTGTGTGAAGTGCCAATGGCAGGCCATTTGCCGGCCAGGAAAGAGAACAATGTTGGCGTGGCCAACCGAATCCTCTGTCTCACCACGATGAAGTTGTGATTGGCTGATTGGCGGGCTGCTAATACCTTACGCTAAATTGGTGTTGTAGTATAGCGTCATCTCTCCGCAGTGTGCATCAGGCTCGGAAAGTTCGTCATTGAACGATCAGTGCCCACCCGCGCCTATCTTCTTCGTCAATCTTGTTGTCCACGTATGCATCTTCTGAAAAATGAATATTTATTCTGTTTTATGAAAATGTGAACGCTAGCATATCCGATACCGCCACCGCAACGATCATGGCGGTGGCGGCTGCCAGGCTAGCCACACATCCACCAGCATGCCTGGCACACCACTGGCACTTCAAACATTGGGACGCAGTGCCGCAGGAAAATGAATGCCCAACCCGCAGGCTGCCCGCAGCATACCTGGTTGGTTGAGAGATGGCGTGTCACATGATTTCACAGGTGGTACATACTAATCAGTTAAATCACGACATTTGTATCTTAGAGCGTCGCGTCCTACACAACACTGCTCCTGGGAAGCAATTGGAGTGGAAGTTTCTGCATCGGAGTTCGTCACGAGCTCAGTGTTATGTGCTCGAATGTTAAGGATGAGGGGTGGTCCCAGCACAGATTTCTGCATTGACTCGACAACTGTGAGAACGCCATAATAAATTGCAATTACAACAGGTGTTAGATCCTATAGAAATAGTGAGGAGTGATCAGATTGAGATATCACAGATTGGCATACCACGATAGTTAGAGACAGGATACCAAGTGTGATGAAAGAAGCAGCAGAGCCAATGGCACATGCAGGACTTCAGCACAAAAGACAATCACAACAAAAACCTATACAACATTTTGAAGTCAGCACAACTCATCGACTGCGCCACGTTATGAAGCGAGCCACGCACACCGAGAAACAGGAAAGACCAACACTGCGGCTTCTACCCCGAATCAATTGTAAATGTATCATCCAATTGCGCTTCTGATGTGGGACTCTACTCACCCAGAATAGTTCAAGCTAAGGAATCATTATCGGTGAGATGTCTGCTCCTGTAATAGCATCAACCTGTTTTCGACCTTACCCCGGGTACTAGGTATGTAGTGAATGGTAAATTTCAAAACATTTGAAACAGAGTGACATCCTTTATGTAAGCCTACACGTGCGGACATCCGACTTCCGCACATAATAGTGTCGGGCTGCAGCTGAACGTTTGAGCTTCAAATCTAGTATTTTAGAATACAAAATGAATACCACGACAAAATGTTCCCTGCAGAGTGACAGACGAATAGTAATCGCTCGGAGCGTTTCCCGTGCTACACACCACTACCAGTTGTCACGTGTCCACGCTCTTGGAAAGCAATTGCAGTCATGGCAATTCCTGCGTCGAAGTCGGCCATGAGCTCAGCGTGATATTCTCGGACGCTAATAATTAGGCGTGGTCCCAGCACAAACATCTGCATCAACTGGATAGTATTGAAAACGCCAAAATAAATTGCAACTCCCGCAGATGATGAGTCCTATAGAAATGATGAGGAGTGGTCAAATGCAGATGAGTCACATATTGGCGCACCTTGACGACTGGGGACAGGATGCCAAGTGTGATGAAAGAAGCAGCAGCGTAGCTGGTACATGTGAACTTCAGCGGAAAAATATAATCACATTCAAACGACGAACTCACGCTGCGAAGTAGAACACGTGAGTTTTCATTAACACCTCCCCAATGGACCTTCTTGTCGGCATGCCTTGAAGTTCACGGAAGTGCATTACAACAACCCTGACTGCAAGACATAGTGCGATGATCTGCCATACAGCGCCGACTATCCAAGCCATGGCCAGTAGAAGTTGGTTGTATCCCTCGTTAGTGCACTCATAGGTGCCATAGAGAACGAGCTCCTCTGGTGTTCGTCCGATGAGTCTAATGCACTATGAGTCTTTCATCCGTAATTCAGGCTCACCCCATGTATCGGTGCTTTGTAGTACAGCAAA